CGTTGATGTAAATGTATGTGAGCCTGGTAGGATGCTGGGAATTGTGGAGCCATGCAAGGATGAGTCAGAGATGGTCCTTGCCTTAATGGGGAAAAATATAACATTTTCAAATGGAAGCATCATTCAGGTATCTCCAGCACTTAACTACAGTTTCTGATAGGTGCTTGATACATGCCGATTTCAACATGGTTTGTTGAAATCATTTGTGTCATAAGGATGGAACAGATAAAGCTCAAGCATGAATGCAGGGATGGAAGGAAGGGTTTTACAGGTAGAGAGAACAGCAAGGGCAAAGACACTGAGAGGAAAACACAGGCTTTGTATAGAAACATACAATGACTGTCTGGTTGCAGTGTGGAAGGCCACAAGGCAAGTCCACTTGGAATCACTGAGACACCTTATTAATTCAATTGATTTGAGAGTGTGTGTATATTTTTAACTCATGCCTAAATCATGCTGACTGAGATGGTGCTATTTCCCTTATATAGAGTAAGCCCAGTTATTGTGGAATTAGATGGAAGATGGGATGGTGGAGGGGTGGGGTTGGGGTGGAAAGAATATTGCAGGAAGAGGTGGGATGAATTGGGAGATTGGGATTGACATATATACACTAATATATATAAAATGGATAGCTAATAAGAACCTGCTGTTAAAAAAAAAAAAAGTAACCCCCCCCCCAAAAAAAAGTTGCAGGAAGATAGAAGAAATGGAGAATAAAGGAAATTGATCAAAACTGTCTTTGTTCTTCAAAAGCAAGAATATGCCCAGGCAGGATATTTAAAGGGAAATGCCACAATTTAATATTTTTCATTCTTTAGAAAACTCTAATTTATAATTTAACAAAGTGGCGAAAACAAAAAATCCTCTCTCCTCCACCAAAACCCTCCTCCTTTGGCTACTCCAGGAAACAGCAGTCACCATCACTTTGGGAACTGGTTAGAAATACCGACTCTCAACTTACCTCAACATAATAAAGGCGATATATGACAAACCCACAGCCAACATCGTTCTCAATGGTGAAAAACTGAAACCATTTCCACTAAGATCAGGAAGAAGAAAAAGTTGCCCACTCTCACCACTATTATTCAACATACTTCTGGAAGTTTTAGCCACAGCAATCAGAGAAGAAAAAGAAATGAATCCAAATCAGAAAAGAAGTAAAGCTGTCACTGTTTGCAGATGACATGATACTATACATAGAGAATCCTAAAGCTGCTACCAGAAAACTACTAGAGCTAATCAATGAATTTGGTAAAGTAGCAGGATACAAAATTAATGCACAGAAATCTCTTGCATTCCTATACACTAATGATGAAAAATCTGAAAGAGAAATTAAGGAAACTCTCCCATTTACCATTGCAACAAAAAGAATAAAATACCTGGGAATAAACCTACCAAAGGAGACAAAAGACCTGTATGCAGAAAACTATAAGACACTGACGGAAGAAATTAAAGATGATACAAACAGATGTTCTTGGATTGGAAGAATCAACATTGTGAAAATGACTAAAGTACCCAAAGCAATCTACAGATTCAATGCAATCCCTATCAAACTACCAATGGCATTTTTCACAGAGCTAGAGCAAAAAAATTTCACAATTTGTTTGGAAACACAAAGACCCCAAATAGCCAAAGCAATTTTTTTTGTTTTTTGCGGTACGCGGGCCTCTCACTGTTGTAGCCTCTCCCGTTGTGGAGCACAGGCTCCGGACGCGTGCAGGCTCAGCAGCCATGGCTCACGGGCCTAGCCGCTCCGCGGCATGTGGGATCCTCCTGGACCAGGGCACAAACCCATGTCCCCTGCATCAGCAGGCAGACTCTCAACCACTGCGCCACCAGGGAAGCCCAGCTAAAGCAATCTTGAGGAAGAAAAATGGAGCTGGAGGAATCAGGCTCCCAGACGTCAGACTATACTACAAAGCTACAGTAATCGAGACAGTGTGGTACTGGTACGCAAACAGAAATGTAGATCAATGGAACAGGATAGAAAGCCCAGAGATAAACCCACACACATATGGTCACCTTATTTTTTATAAAGGAGGCAAGAATATACAGTGGAGAAAAGACATCCTCTTCAATAAGTGGTGCTAGGAAAACTGGAAAGCTACATGTAAAAGAATGAAATTAGGGGCTACCCTGGTGGTGCAGTGGTTGAGAATCTGCCTGCCAATGCAGGGCACACGGGTTCAAGCCCTGGTCTGGGAAGATCCCACATGCCACGGAGCAACTAGGCCCGTGAGCCACAACTACTGAGCCTGCGCATCTGGAGCCTGTGCTCCGCAACAAGAGAGGCCGCGATAGTGAGAGGCCCACGCACCGTGATGAAGAGTGGCCCCCACTTGCTGCAACTAGAGAAAGCCCTTGCACAGAAACAAAGACCCAACACAGCCAAAAATAAATAATAAAAATAAAAGGAATTCCCTTAAAAAAAAAAAAGAATTAAATTAGAACACTTCCTAACACCATACACAAAAATAAACTCCAAATGGATTAAAGACCTTAATGTAAGGCCCGACACTATAAAACTCTTAGAGGAAAACATAGGCAGAACACTCTATGACATAAATCACAGCAGGGAGGGGGCTTCCCTGGTGGCGCAGTGGTTGAGAGCACTACGGTGGTTGAGATTCACAGCAGAATCCTTCCTGACCCACCTCCTAGAGAAATTGAAATAAAAATAAACAAATGGGACCTAATGAAACTTAAAAGCTTTTTTTTTTTTTTGGAGAAAATAATTTTTATTATCATTTTTTTCTTTTACAAATACACCGAAGAGTCATGCAATGCTGTCAGCATTGGACTCAATCCTGGGCCACAAGTCTGCACATTCCTTTGCAACTGGTCCTGTGATGGCAGAACATTTCATCTCGCCTTTATTGTTTACTATGACCCCTGCGTTATCTTCAAAATAAAGAAACACACCATCTATTCTCTGGTATGACTTTCGTTGTCGAATTACCACTGCTGGATGTACCTTCTTTCTGAGCTCTGGTTTGCCTTTCTTGACTGTGGCCATCACCATGTTACCCACACCAACAGCAGGAAGTCTATTCAGTCGTCCCTTGATCCCCTTCACAGAGATGATATACAGATTTTTGGCTCCTGTGTTGTCAGCACAGTTGATCATGGCTCCAACTGGAAGACCCAAGGAAATCCGGAATTTCGCACCAGAGGACCCACCACGTCCTCACTTCGACATCTTGAACGCCGGAAAGGGACAAAAAGGAAGTAGGTATAAAGGACACTGAGATCTCAACTCCAACGCCCCACCCAATCTGGTCACGTCGAAACTTAAAAGCTTTTGCACAGCAAAGGAAACCATGAACAAGACAAAAAGACAACCCTCAGAATGGGAGAAAATATTTGCAAATGAAGCAACTGACAAAGGATTAACCTCCAAAATATATAAGCAGCTCATGCAGCTCAATATCAAAAAAATAAACAACCCAATCCAAACATGGGCAGAAGACCTAAATAGACATTTCTCTAAAGAAGATATACAGATTGCCAACAAACACATGAAAGAATGCTCAACATCACTAATCATTAGAGCAATGCAAGTCAAAACTACAATGAGTTATCACCTCACACCAGTCAGAATGGCCATCATCAAAAATTTACAAACAATAAATGCTGGAGAGGGTATGGAAAAAAGAGAACCCTCTTGCACTGTTGGTGCGAATGTAAATTGATACAGCCACTATGGAGAACAGTATGGAGGTTCCTTCAAAAACTAAAAATAGAACTATCATACGACTCAGCAATCCCACTACTGGGCATATACCCTGAGAAAACCGTAATTCAAAAAGAGTCATGTACCACAATGTTCATTGTAGCTCTATTTACAATAGCCAGGACATGGAAACAACCTAAATGCCCATGGACAGGTGAATGGATAAAGAAGATGTGGGGCTTCCCTGGTGGCGCAGTGGTTGAGAGTCTGCCTGCCGATGTAGGAGACACGGGTTCGTGCCCTGGTCCGGGAAGATCTCACATGCCGCGGAGCAGCTGGGCCCGTAAGCCATGGCCACTGAGCCTGCGCGTCTGGAGCCTGTGCTCTGCAACGGGAGAGGCCACAACAGTGGGAAGCCCGCATACCACAAAAAAAAAGAAGATGTGGCACATATATACAATGGAATATTACTCATCCATAAAAAGAAATGAAATCGAGTTATTTGTAGTGAGGCGGATGGACCTAGGGTCTGTCATACAGAGTGAAGTAAGTCAGAAAGAGAAAAAAAAATACCGTATGCTAACACATATATATGGAATCTAAAAAAAAAAAAAGGTTCTGAAGAACTTAGGGGCAGGACAGGAATAAAGACACAGACTAGAGAATGGACTTGAGGACATGGGAAGGGGGAAAGGTATGCTGGGACGAAGTGAGAGAGTGGCATGGACATGTATACACTACCAAATGTAAAACAGATAGCTAGTGGGATGCAGCCGCATAGCACAGGGAGATCAGCTCGGTGCATGGGGATATATGTATATGTATAGCTGATTCAGTTTGTTATAAAGCAGAAACTAACACACTATTGTAAAGCAATTATACTCCAATAAAGATTAAAAAAATACAGCAGGAAAAAAAAAAGAAATACCGACTCTCAGACCCCAGTCTGGACCCACCAGATCAAAATGTTCATTTAACACGATGGCCAGGTGATTACTCGCACATTTCAGTCTGACAAGGCCTGCTCTAACCTACTGTATTGTAGAGCCAATATTTTGCTGAAAAAAAATTCTAGCTGCTGCCGCTGTTCCCAGTCTCTTTCACCAGATGGCAGTAGCCCGTTCACTTCCTCCCAGCCCCACTGTTTCAGGCCGGTGTTAAGCTCCAGGTTACAGCTCCGGGCTCTTGCGGAAGATCCAAATAGGCAGGGAGACGCCGAGGGAGGGGGCGGACCCTGTGGGCGGGACCGGACCTGCCCAATGGGTTCCTCCGGGTGGGGGGCGGGGCCCTATTTCAGCTGCTCCTCCGAACGCAGGCGCAGTGCGCCTCCCTGGTTCAGTATGTGGCGAGTTCCCCGTCTGCTCTGCGTGTACGTTCCAAGGAAGAGCAAGCTCACGGGACCTTTGAACAGGCCTGCCGCCTTCATGTCCACTCTGCTCATCAATCAGCCCCAGTATGCTTGGCTGAAGGAGCTGGGGCTCCGCGAGGACAACGAGGGCGTGTATAATGGAAGCTGGGGAGGCCGGGGAGAGGTATGCGGGTGTCCCGGGCAATCTCTGCGGCCTCACTTCGCCCCGGGAGGCCGGACACGCACTGCCCAGCTCGAGTCCCCACGGACGCCGTCGGCGGTTGTACTGGGTGGGAAGTTTTGAAGTCCACAGTAAAAGTTTCCTCACGTAGAATGTCTTAAAAATACCGTTAGATTTTAGGTCCCGTGTGTTATGGAGAATCGAGTTCATTTTGGAGCTGGTTGGGGTTGAAGTTCCCCCGCATACTTGAAACCGTGCCGGCAGAGTTCGGCACTCTAGTGAGAACTGCCACACGCTTAGCGGTGGAAATTATCGGAATTTTGTGCTTGACTGTGGCTCCTCACATGTGAGGTGCGCCACAGGTACTGTTTTACAGTATAGTTTTGTCTTGTCTTTTCTGAAATCCTTTGGAATGCAAGCTCGGACTTGCTGAAATCCTATCATGTTTTCATTGGGCTCTGAGCTTCCTTGAGGGCTGGGTTTTCAGCGTTTCTCTATTTCCAGAGCCTGACACCGTGCTTGACACCCAGTTAATGTTCAATAAAATGTTTTATAGAGTAGTATGGAAAGGTTAGGTTATTATCACCTAGATTTTTTTGAGAGCTGCATACAGAAGAAGGCTTTTATAAGAAAATGTTATGTAACATTCTGATAGTTTGTTGAATGAACCTGCTTTGTTAGAGGAAACACATCTTTTAGTTATCTGTGACTGTAGGAGATGCAGGCGGTTTTAATTGTTCCCCAAATCCCCCCTCCCCCATTGGTGGTTTCAGCCTGTTTTTCCTGTGGTATCCAATCATTAGATTCATGGATAAATACCCTCTCCTGAAAGCCTTTTTTAAAGCTACACCTGGGTTCTTTCTTTATAATTGACCTCTCCAGTTTGTGTGGACACAGGCCTTTCCCATGGTTGTCTAGCTTTGGCCATTTCACCCCTTACCAGAGGGTGGGCAGAGTAAGGGAGAGAGGGAATAAGTTAAACTTGTAACTTTGCTCTGTTGTTAATGGAAATAGAGGCAAAATAATGGATTACATTTAGGCTTTTGTTTAAATACCTAGTATTTAGAATGGTGAAGGTGGGTTTTGCAGAAAAGGTTGTTCTGAATGTTCAGGTCAGAAATGAAAGCTCTGTAGAGTCGCTTATTTGTAACAAGTTAGTGTAAAGGTTCTGAATTTGAATATTGTGTCTTAGCCTCTTTTTTCCCCTTTTTTTCTTCCCCCATTTGATCTGCTCCCCCAGTTTGGGATTACATTTTCTATTTATGGTGGTCGTCTTTTTGTTTTAAGGTTATCACCACCTATTGTCCTGCTAACAATGAGCCGATAGCGAGAGTCCGACAGGTAAGTGGGTTTGTTTTTTTTTTAAATGCAGAATGCCCACTGGGAGTTTGTGCCAGTGACGACGAGCAATACAACTTTTCAAAGTCAAAGAATAACGTTTCTTTTTAATGTAACATTTAAGAATATCTGAGGGAGACTGTCGATGGGGGTGTGTGTGCCCCAGAAAAGGTGAACCCTAGAGAGGACTCGGGAGGGGGTCCATTGAAGGCCATGCTTCTGGATCACCTGGGTACTTTTGTTAGAATGAATGTTTTGACCTCTTGAATCTGGGTTGGAGCCTGAGGTTCTGAATTTCTAATACACGTCAGGTATTGCTCACAGATGAGGCTCCTGGACCTTGCTTTGAGAAGCAAGGTTTTAAAAAGCACAGATTCTGACTTACTGAATTCCAGCAAGTTTTTGGAAGTGTAGGCTGTGAAAATCATTTTAAACCACAAATCTTAGGGTCAACCAGAGATTTTACAATTCTTTTCCAAAAATCTGTGTTCTTAGAAGATCATCACTGCCCTTTCCTTTACCCTTTGTCTCCCTCCAAATCTTTATTTAGGCCAGCATGGCTGACTATGAAGAAACTGTAAAGAAAGCAAGAGAAGCATGGAGAATCTGGGCGGATGTAAGTATGGAGGCCATGGCACGATTACCTACTGTAATGACGGTGAGATAAGAGACATCTGATGAGCAGGCCAGTGCCCCCTTGCTGAAACAGGAGCCCCTGGGGGCTGCAACTATCTCCTCTGCCTTCAGTAATTTGGTGATTTTAAAGGGAATAGAACTCTACTAATGTAGCACAAATTTGATCTATGAACACTTTACTCTCCAACTGAAGTTACTTGAATTTATAATTAAGCAAAGAGAAAGGAATATCTATCCTAAAAATACCTGTATGCTCCTTCTCCCTGCCAGTTTTTTCGGGAGTGAGGGTATCTTAGCAATAGGTCGACATTCCTGGCTCAAATGGCAGTGGTGGCAGTGTCCCCTCTTACCGGGCCTAGGCTCCAGTTCCTCAACAGTCTGATGAGGCTTTGAGGCCGGTTCTGCCTTCTTTGTCTGTCTCCACCAGGAGTTCTGTGAGCTGGTGTAGGGATTTTGACTGGAGCTGGGCCGGGCCACAGTGAGCTATCACTAGATAAGGGCCTAGGTCTGGAGGAGGGGAGAGTAAAGAACTGGCCTAGTCTGGATCTCTCAGGCCTCCCTCACCTCCCCCACCCTGAATATCCCTTTTGGTCTTCAGCTGAAGGCCCGAAGCAGCAGGAATATCCGGTCGGTTAACCCAGCTCTGCCCCTGGGTATTTTACTTCACCTTAGTGTGCTTTGTCTTGTAAAAAGGGGAGACCAGGTGTGCTTACCTCTTGAGTTATTGTGAGGGTTAAATGAATTAATCATTTAAAGTGCTTGCAGATAGGGGCAAACCTCCGTACCCGTGAGCTTGATTTCTAGAACCATGTGCTGCTGGGTTTGTGACTGCTGAGCCTCAGTGGTTTTTTGTTTTTCTCCTGAATCTGTGATTGCTGTGGGGAGTTGGGGAAGGGCAGACTCTCCAGGAGAGCCCTGGGTTGGATGCAGGGTTATTGTCAGCCAAGAGACCACCTCTGTGCAAAGTAGGAAGAACATCTCTTTAATTCTGGCTAAGTTATGCTCAGAGTTCCATTATATACAATCAAAAATATCCTTCAACAAAGAAAATACCACTTCCAGAAGTAAGCAGTGTGCTGAGTAAAGTTCGCCTTAGCAGGTTAGAGAATTGTGACCAAAGCTGTGTCAAATTATTTTAAGTCAGCCGGTTCCACCTCTGCGGGCCTCACATCTGCAGATACGGAGTGCTGACTGTTCTCAGCCACTCTATGTAAGGGATTTGAGCATCCGCAAGTTTTGGAATCCGTGGGGGTCCTGGAACCAATCTCCTGTGGATACTGAAGGACAATTGTACTTTTTTTTTTTTAATAGACTTTATATTTTAGAGCAGTTTTAGGGTGAAACTATAGGGGAGGAAAATTTTTTATTCTCTGCTAGGTTCTTTGGCTGTTCTAATAATTAAATCAGCATACAGCAGATTGACAGGAGAAAAACAAATTTTAATTTTGTGTGAGGGGGAGACACAAAGATATGAGACCCAAAGGCAGTTAGGCAGTTGAGGCTTATATACCATCCTGATCTAAGGAAAGGGGTGGGGGCCCTGGGGCTTCAAAGAAGAGGAGGACAAATCTCAGGAACGTGAGAAGAGCAAGTGTTTGGTAACAAATGTTTTCCCTCATGCAGATAAGTCAGATATAAAAAGTTACCTCTGGCGATGGCTCCTGGTATAGGTCCACTTTCTAAGTTCTTGTAGGCGGTTAAGGAGGTGTTGGAAATCTTTTCCGAGTCTACTGTGCTTTGACTGCCTTTAGCTCAAAATAATGCCAAAGAACATGCCAGACGGGCCCATTGTGGGGTGGTTTGAACCCCTTCAACGGAAGGATGATCAGTAAGTGTAGAGTTCCTTACTCTCCATCACTTCTGCAAGTTTCCTGTATTAATACCCTGCATTAGTGTGGTACGTGTTAATTGGTGAGCCAATATGGACACATTAGTATTAACAAGTCCATAATTCACATTAGGATTCACTCTTTGCATGTACTATTTTGAATGCTAGTGAAACTTTTGACCAGAAACTTCCATTATATGTGTGTCTTTACCCACAGTAAATACAATCTTGTTTGAAAAAAGATTTGTGTGAATTCAGGGTCTTTTCTTTCCCTGAACTGGCTTTTAGGTTAGTCTTGGCTTTGCCCGAGGGGGTGGCAGCTGGCATTGTGATTCTTTCTTTAAAATCGTGCTGTACTTTGTTGTTGTTGCTACTTTTTGAATTCAGGTTCTTACTTGGTGCCTGCCCTTTACTCAACTGGGCCAGCCTCTGCACCTAACATTCTTACTATTTCTGCTTTTACTTGTTAGACCTCTCAGTAGAGTCGGGGTGCGAAGTGGGAACAGGTGGCTTTCCTGGGTGATGGTAAAATCAGTTGGGAATCCCACTTGTTAGAATTTGAGTTAAGCAATTGAGTCCAAAGTTTAGGGAAGAAGCAGAGCCTTTCCTAACTGTGCCTCTGGACTCCTGCCAGCAGGGCTGCTGGTTCTCAAACAAGAACAGACCAAAGCTTGATCCCCTCCTGGTATATACACTTTTCCTCTTGGATGCTCACTCATGTGGGGCTACTTCTGCTTGGTCCTGACCTTTCTGGATGGCCTTGCCTGTGAGGACAAACCACGGTTTCGTTTAGTTCATTTGTGTTAAACCTGGAATTTTTCAAAGGGAACTTTGTCTCCTTTTTCCTTAAAAAAAAAAAAGTATGAAAATATGAAAAAGTAGTTATCAAAACATTTCTTTCTCTTAACTAAAACTAACCGCAGGGAACCTGGTTGGGACTTCTCACTCTTGCTTTCTTTCATGAGCTGTTTAGTCTGAATGCCACCTGTTTCTGCCTCTCTCCATCCGCTGTGTGTGTCATCATTTTCTCCATTTCTGGTGAGGAGGTGCCAGAGATGACAGGAGCTGTGAATGGGGCTCCTCTAGCTGAATAAAAGGATGCCAGATACTTGGTAACTCTTTAACATGGGTGGGTGTCTTTGTAGTACTTCCCCAAGGGCTCAGCTGGTACTTCCTCAGTGGTCATAGTTGTCTCCTATGGCTGCCTTTGACGCTCATTCTAAATCTAACTTCACGGTGAGGTGTGTAGGGACAAGGGCTCTCATTTGCCATCTCAGGAGGGTCTGAGGTTATTGATGCCCCGTCACGCTGGGACTGATCAAGCCCACACGGGGAATATGGCTGTATTCCTGGTTTCCCGCTCCCGCCTCACATCCCTCACCTCATACCTAATCCTGCCTTTCTTCTCATCTCTTGCTGCTCCTACTAATCATCTTGGAAGCTGGAGGAAAAAGAAAAAAAAAAAAAAAGCCAGGTTTGAGTGGTCTGGGATGGAATGTAGTTTAAAGCGTGGGTGGTGGTTCTAATATGTAGCCAGGGTTGAGACTTGATCAATTACCAAGCCTTAAACACTTTGAATTATATTTCTCTCTATTGCTATTTTTGTGGTCCAGACAGCCACCATCTCTTGTCTGGCCTCATTTCCTGCCTGAGTCTTTTCTCCCTCCAATCCATTTTCTATACCACATTTAGAGTGGTATTTTAAAAGCACTGTGATTTTTCTCCCCACCATATAAAACCCTCTAGTGATTTCCCCACTGCTCTTTGGATCCTTTACATAGTCCTTGGCAGTGTGGCCCCTACATTCCTCTCCTACCTCTTTGAAGTCTTTATAGTTTTCCAGAATCACCGTGTTCTTTTGTCTTTTAGCCTTTGCGTATGTTATGCTCCCTGTCCCCCATACTTTCTCTGCCTCTTCAGCTGGTGAACACCAGTCATGCTTTAGGTCTTAGGTCTCAACTCTAAACTTATTCTTTTTTTTTTTTTTGCGGTACACGGGCCTCTCACTGTTGTGGCCTCTCCTGTTGCGGAGCACAGGCTCTGGATGCGCAGGTCCAGCGGCCATGGCTCACGGGCCCAGCCGCTCCGCGGCATGTGGGATCTTCCCGGACCAGGGCATGAACCCGCGTCCCCTGCATCGGCAGGCAGACTCTCAACCACTGCGCCACCAGGGAAGCCCTCTAAACTTCTTTAAAAAGCCTCCTTCCTCCCCACCTCCTTGCCCGCAAGTAATGCTAGGTTAACACTCATAGGTGGTCCAGTTGTGCAGTCTAGCTCCATCACGGTGCTTACCACATGAAATTGTAATCTCCTGTTTTGTTTCTACCACCCTCACTCGACCATTGGCTCTAGGGGGCATGAATCGTAGCTGACTTGTTTCCCTAGTATCCCGGGGGTTAGCACAATATCTGGCACATAGAACGTGTGCAGTAAGTGGTGGTCGAAAGACTGATAGAATAAATGTGCTTAGAATAGCTATGTGTACTGAGTTGGCCATTCTGAGTTGAAATTAACCAATTTGCTAAGTTTATAAATGTGTGGGCTAAATTCGATCAAAACATTATTAAACCCATTCCATGCCTTAGAAAATACAAAGGATCTGTGCTACTTCATTTAATGTTATAATTTTTGTTTACTGTTTCTGAAAGTGTGCAGGTATCGTAAAAGTGGCAAATATCCACATACAAAATGTGGAGAATGAAAGTCTCTTATGATTCCATTTCCCAGAAATTACAACTGTTAATATCTTTTATATTCCTTCAAACTTAATGCATATGGTAAGTAAACTTTTGCTTATCTTGCTATTTTTATGGCTTTTAAAAGTTTTTCCTTATAAATCTATTCTTCTTAGAGAGTGTCAAGCATTCCATTTTATGGCTATTCCATAATAAACCAATCATATACCGATGGACATTTAGCTGGTTTCTGTTTTCTCTACTGGAAACAGCACTGCAGTAAATGCTGTTGTACCTCTACTTTTGCACACTTATGTGTATACTCAATTTCCAGAAGTAGAACTGCCTATTCAAAGCAGGGGACATTTTAAATGTTAATAGAATACCAAGCTACCCTTGAGAAAAGCTATACTAAGACATTTGGGGTACATCTGGGAAGGAGAGAGAGCGAAGAAGAGCCCTGAGCTCACGGTCAAGCTCTGGGAGGCCTCTCTGTGAGGAGGGCATGGGGGGACTGGCAGCAGCCTGGGGGGATGGGAATGGTCCTGTTAGTTGCCTTTCAAGGGAGAGGTGGAATAAATCAGGAAGAGCTGGAAGGGAGAGAAGGGGTGACATCGTAGGTGGCGAAAGTATGTCTCCATTCATGCATCACATCTCAAACTTAATATGGCCCAACCTGTACTCCACCTCCAAAAGAAAATCCTGATGCTTCTTCTGAGTTATCTTCATCCCTGTAATTCTACTTCCATCTACCCAGCTATTCAAGCCAGAGACCTGGGAGTCATCCTTAGTGCTTTCATTTCCCATACCTGTTCCATTAGTGTGTTCTGTCCATTCTACTTCCAAAATAGATTCTGAATCCACTTTTTGTCTCCCTTGCTTCTATCTTAAGGCTCAGTCACCAGTATTTTTTGCCTAGGCTAGTAGAACATGTTCTTAGTTGGTCTCCCTGCTTCTACTCTTTTCCCCTCCAACTTATTCTACACCCATCGAGGCACTGATCTTAGAAAAGTTCAAGCGAATCATCTTATTCTGCCTCTTAAAAACCGTTAAAGACTTCCCATTGCACCTGGAGTAAAATTCAGACTCCTTAAAGCTCCTTCTAGCTGTAGGCGTAGTGTCCTCCTCAGTCAGCCCCTCATATATGATAGGCTTTTATTTTCCATGGGTCTCTTACACGTTTTTCTTTTCCTTGGGAAGAATATTCCTATGGTTGACTTTTCCCAACCTTAGGTTTCAGCTTAAGTCTCACCTTGGAGATTTGGGTTGACGGCCTTTTAGGTAAAGTAATGTACCCGTTTATCCTCCAAGCCTGCTGTTTTCTCTGTCTTAGAACCCTCTTTATTTCCTTGGTCTTTATAGCCCTTGTGGCACTTCGTAATTATTTGTTGCCTCCCCCCGCCTGTTATTAGTACCATGACTGCTGCTAGATAATAATTATTAGCTCCATGAGTGCCTCACTTATTTTAGCCCCGGTGCCTAGTACTGCTGTTGTCACATAGTATGTAGGTGCTTAGAAGTATTTGGTGAGTGAGTGGTACTATTTGAATGGATTATGGAATACCAGCTTTGTAAGTAAGCTGAATTTAGGGTCTGGGCATGCAGTCAGTTTGACCCATATGAAAATACCTCTGCGAATCATAAAGGGTTACAGGTATGTAAGGCATTCTGAGCTTTCTGGAGCCATCCCCAAAAGTTGTGTTCAGTCTGAATATCTCTATGTACTTAGCACAGTCCTTGCCTCACCAAGAACGTATCATCTGGATATTTTTTTGGTCTGTGGTATGGGTTTTGGGGCCTGCCATGTCACAGTCTTGATGGGATCAAAACAGTTGTCTTTGATGTGCTTGTACTTTGTTCTCTTATTGCACATTTATCTAATACTTACTGTGTTATAGACACAAGCTTACACTTTGAATCAGACACTAAAATTCCACTATTTTCTTAGATTCCTGCTCCAAAGCGAGGAGAAGTAGTGAGACAGATTGGTGATGCCTTGCGGGAGAAGATCCAAGTACTAGGAAGCTTGGTAAAGTATTTTTGTAGTAAATATACAATCCTTCGAGTGAGGAATAAGGCTGTCTTGTCCTCCTGTGTATAAGATTGTGATTTTTAAGAAGAGTAATTTATATATTTCAAAAATCTTTTCTTTAGAGGGAAGATTAACAAGATGGACAGGAAAAAGTGAAGACAATTCTTGGGTTTTAAAATTCTTCAGAAAAATAAGAACACACTTGATGAAGTTTATGAGCATCACAAAACAAACAATATGTTTTGATTTCCCCACCATAAATTTAATCTTTAAAGTATGAATTCTCTTGGAAAAATACGGCTTGGTCTTTTGTATTTTTAGGTGTCTTTGGAGATGGGGAAGATCTTAGTGGAAGGTGTGGGAGAAGTTCAAGAGTACGTGGATATTTGTGATTATGCTGTTGGCTTATCTCGGATGATTGGAGGACCCATCCTGCCTTCTGAAAGTAAGCAATGAAGTCAGTTCAGCTAAGAGATTTTTTATTTTATTTTATTTATTTTTAAGAGTTTCATACTCTAATACAGAGAGCTCCAAAAATTTCTCTGGCTGTGAACAGTTTGCAAAAAAGGAATTTCAGGTAATACATAGATATGATAATAACTTTAATCTCTTTACTAAGAAAGGCAATTTAAAACAGATGAAGACATCAGATTAAAATGCTTGAACTTTAAAAAAAAATTTTTTAAATTGGCAAGTCCATGGGTGAGACAGACACTCTTTTATGGGGACTTTTGGCAATGTGGATCACCAGTCTGTCTGGGGAACAATTTGGAAAAATATCTATCCAAAGAGCCTTAAATACTTAATACCAGTTTCCAGAATCTAATTGAAGTAAATAATCTGAAATGTGACTGAGGTTCATGTGTGAAGATGTTCATTGTCCTATTCATAGGAAACATTAGAAATGGCCTACATGTCAAATCATATGACAAAAGTTGAGTAAATAATTTTGGTAGTCTATTAGCAGGCATTAAAAAAATCATGAAGTTTGCTTTCCCCAACCCCAAATTTTATAGGAAAGTTGTATTTACTTATTTTTGAATTATTTTTATTTTTTTGAAGAGGTAATATATTCATATCACAAAATTAAAAAGGAATAAAAGGGTAAAGGATGAAAAGATTTTGTCCTCCCCACGGGATACTCCATAGTATTTCCATGGAAGTATCGAATGTTTCTGGTTTCTTGTGTATCTTTTTAGAGCTTTTATTCACGTGCAGGCAAATACATGTCTTTTAGGAACATAAACGTTAGCAAACTGTATGTTCTGTTCTCTACTTTTTTACTACTTAATGTGTCTTAGAAATTGTTTCATATTATTCCAATAAGGTACTTCCTTCATCTTTTTTTTATGGTTGTCTGTTTGTTGTAAGGATGGCCAGTTCCTAAAAGATGGATATTTAGGGTCTTTTCAGTCTTTGGTTGTTAAACTGTGCCGCGGGGACCAACCTTGTACTTAATGATGAGAACAAGGAAAAGTACCAGGGTGGAAGTCTGCCAAAGTAGTCACGGCAGAATTATTGATGGTTGTTATTGTCTTCTTTATATTTTTCTATATTTTCCAAAGTTTCCACAATGGGAATTGTGTTACATTTATAATCAGGAAAAGAAATTTTTTAAAAAATCGTGTTTTCCTGGGCTTCCCTGGTGGTGTAGTGGTTGAGAGTCCGCCTGCCGATGCAGGGGACACGGGATCGTGCCCCGGTCTGGGAAGATCCCACATGCTGCGGAGTGACTGGGCCTGTGAGCCACGGCCGCTGAGCCTGTGTGTCCGGAGGCTGTGCTCCGCAATGGGAGAGGCCACAACGGTGAGAGGCCTGCGTACCAGAAAAAAAAAAAAAAATCGTATTTTCCTGTATTTTCTTAGAATATCGGGCAAATTCTGATATGTAGGAAGTTAGGGGATTCTTTTCAAATGTACAGTTACTGTCTTTAATTAGACACATAATAGCGATTGCCTTTAGCCATTAGTAACTGTGTTAACTTCAGCACTGCTGGAGGGCACAGTGTGAGGGGGAGAGATGGGTGGAGAGGGAACCTTGGGTAGGGACTTTTCATGGAGTTTGGACTTTACCCTGAGGGCAGCTGCAGTACTGATCCAGACACCAAAGTGTGGCAAGCTACGGAGGGATGTTATAAGAGCTCCCCTGGCCTACTTGAGGGGAGGATAAAGACGGGAGGGGCAGAGAAGAGGAAGGCAGGCCCTGCAGGAAGAGGCCCTGTGAGGCTGTACCAGCACATCATCTCCAGGGAGATTAGGGTTCCTAGACTAAGGAAGGGCCTGGGAATGAGGTGCAGCAAGTGGTGGGTTCCCTGTTTTTGCTAGCAGCTTGAGCGTGGCCAGAAAGGTGGATGGCTGGGAGCGTGACCTTCCTAGTGCTTTTAACACTAGGTTTTGTGAACCTTCACACTCCTTGCTCTGCTTCTTCACTGCTCCAGCTGCCTTTGATTAAAATAAGGCCCTTGTGGGATTATGGTGTCTTTAAAGTTTGTCTATAAAATGCAAATGGTTCAATTTGTATTTTCAGTTTTCCTGTATGTATGTAAAGCTTTATTTGTGCACTTCATTCGTTCAGCATTTTTATAATGATTATAACTTTTTTCCCTGTACATGAGCCACTTTGTTTTGAATTTAGAGAGGTTAGCTGAGGGCTTCATCAGAACATCAAGAACACGGCCCTGAGAGTCATGACTCCTGTGTTGTGGTCATGCCCTGACTTTGGCAATCACATCACCTAGGACACGTCTCATCTACTCTCTGAAGTTTCGTTGTCTCCCAGATGGGACTGAAACTGCCCTGATCTACACCGAGTTCCTATGAGCAGAGGCGTAATGGATATCCTCATGGTTTATAAGATAATGTGGTAGTAATAACAGCTTTTGTTGTATGCTCATTAATGTACCAACATCCCACAGCTGTTTAAGTGATCCGCTGCAAGGCATCTGGAGTCGCCACCTGGTGTGGTGCACCTTTGTTCTGAAAATGAAAGATTGCAGACTTTGTTCTTATTACCTTGACAGGCATGAAATTAACATGCTTAAGCATGTTGCATGCTTTCCCTCTCCTCAGGACCTGGCCATGCGCTCATTGAACAGTGGAATCCTGTAGGCCTGGTTGGAATCATAACTGCGTTCAACTTCCCTGTGGCGGTGTATGGCTGGAACAACGCCATCGCCATGATCTGTGGGAACGCCTGCCTTTGGTAAGAATGGCTCATTTTCTTATCCAGTAGTTAGATAGTAAAATTAGCTATTTTCAAGTACTACTGAAAGTATTGCAAATGTATTGAAATGTTTTCTACTACTCTTTCAAGTAACATAGCTAAGTCACACCTGGTATTTGTGAAATGCTGATTTTTAATTATTACAAATTTTACCATTGGTAAAATTTATTTTTTTTGACCTCCTTTTTTTTGACACAGCCTTGTCCCCTGTTCCTTCCAGTTATTTCCACCCCAAGCAGGTGTACTGTAATTCAATTCTGACACTATCTGTACTCAGTGTCAGGCTCCACCTGTTTAAGGGCTCAGTCTTCCACAATACTGCCCCTACTTAAGATGCAAGCTGCAGATGTTCCCAGTCCCCGGGACATCTGTAGTTCTGACCAGCCATCTACAAATCTGGAGGTTCCTGTGAACCATTGGTTTCAGTAATACATTAGAATGGCCTACAAAACTCAAGAGAGCGCAATATTTAATGATTGCAGTTTTATTTTAAAGGATACATATAGGGCATGGTCTAGAAGGGTCCTAGACTCAGACCTTCCCTGCTCTCTCCCTGTGAGGGGAGGACACGTCACCTTCCCAACCAAGAGGCTCCACTGAGCTTTGGAGTCCAGAATTTTTATGGGGGTTTTAGTACGTTGGCATGACTGAGTAAATCACTGTACAAGTGATTGGACTTTAGTCTTCATCCCTCCTCCCCTCCCCATGGTTGATCTTTCTGGTGAACAATGACCAGCACCCATCCTGACGCCATCTTGGGGGCGGGCCCACTAGTCACCTAATTAGCATAACAAAGACTTCTCTCACTCGGGAAATTCCAAGGGGTGTTGATAACAGGGTATGCCAGAAAACTGGGAGTGAAAACCAGATAGTCTTTATTATACTATACTAACAAACAGAAAACTAAGTGAACAAATAGGAGGGAAGAAAATAACTTGTGATACGTCACAACCTTCTTTTAAAAATTCGATTCTTTTTTTAACTCAATAAAATTTGATGGTGAATTCCCAAGTGATTCTGAGGCACTTGGCCGTATTCCCATTGATGCATTAAATGTTACATCACTATAAAATATGTGATAGTAAAAATTAGCTGGGACAATGTCAGTATTTATAGATGACAAAACGGTTGCTTGTTTTTAGCTTTCCTGTTCAATGGAGGAACTTAGATGGGAAAACCAGGAGAATTGTCTTTGCTCCTTTTCTGTCTGTCCTGCTAATATGTACTGATCTTAGTGTTGTTTTCAGTTGAAGGTATTCAAAGACTATGAAAGCAAGGGCATAGTTGGGAGGATTAATGATCTGGCACCATGTTACCAAAGGCTAGTTGTATAGTCTTCCTCAGCCCTCTGAGCCTTCCAATGGAAGTTCATGTTGATTGATTTTCTGTTTTACTCAGTTTCCTTAATTGGCAGAGGTTAATGTAACAGTTCCTGTGATCAGTGCAGCAGGCAGGTCCAGAATTGCTTGGTGCCATTTTTCTATTTATAAAAGTTTTATAGTTCTTTAGGTCCCAGAGGCACCAAGCTGAAGGATAGATTTCTCTTTTAGTTACTAGGCTTAGTTGCTTAATTGGAGAGAACTTTTTCTCACAAAGACTTCTGCTTGAAAATAAAAGGTATTTATGATTTCCACCAAATTAAACTGCCTTTTTTTTGTTTTGTTTTTTTACCCTTATAAGGAAAGGAGCTCCAACAACTTCCCTCATTAGTGTAGCTGTCACAAAGTAAGTATGTATGACTGTATTCTTTCTGGGTATGGAAGAATCTTAAAAGGGTGATTGATAGGCACTGAATTTTTAATATGACATGAAAGTGTCATATTTATTTTAGCATGGAGTTTGGATAAACTCTTTCTTCTTTGGTTGTAATAACATTTTTGTATTGTTAGGCCGTTTACAGAGCTTTTTCAGAGCCATACATTTAAGTCTTGGGAAACATGCCAGATACTGATATAAATGTTGAACTTGAACTCTTTTTTTTTTTTTTTTTTTTTTTTTGGTGTTTTTGGGCCTCTCACTGTTGTGGCCTCTCCCGCTACGGAGCACAGGCTCCGGATGCACAGGCCCAGCGTCCATGGCTCACGGGCCCAGCTGCTCTGCGGCATGTGGGATCTTCCCGGACCGGGGCACGAACCCGTGTCCCCTGCATCGGCAGGCGGACTCTCAACCACTGCGCCACCAGGGAAGCCTGAACTTGAACTCTTAAAACATTTTTTTTTTGTCACTTGCAAAATAAAAACAAATCCAGTAGAGAGGAAATAGCCTTGCAATTTAGGGGCTTTATGCTACAACTATTCAGCATGTTAATGGTCTTGATTTCTACTCACCTGATACTTTTACTGCTTTTGTTTAATAGACAGTTAGCAAAGCAGAAAGAAAGGGTTATTATATTATTCCACTGATTCTTCTTTCGGTTAAAAAAATTACTGTTTTATTTATTCCTATTTGGAAACATGACAACTCTGATTAGGTCATAAAATCAGTGTTACTAATTTATCATTCCAGAATTTAGAGAATGTATAGAAGAGAGTGCCTTCCCATGTAGGGTGACGGTGGGCCCTTGATGTTCCATCGTTTGTGTGGTCTACATTCTCTGATTTAAAGAATTGCTGGTAGAGAGTTTGTGATGGATTCTATACATAAGAGGGTCCTTAATGTTGGAAGGTCATTTTAGGAACACTGGCTTAGGAAGTGAAAAGTCGGCTAAAAAAAGAGTAGCGTGTATTAAGTGTTTACTTGAAAGGAATATGTGATATTGAGAAAACAATATCTTTCAAGGCAATGTTGTTCAAATTAAATATTAAGAACACTGACATACAAAGCACATAAAAATGATGAGATTCCCCAGGCAATTTTTAAAAATAATCCTTGGGCTTCCCTGGTGGCGCAGTGGTTGAGAGTCCGCCTGCCAGTGCAGGGGACACGGGTTCGTGCCCCGGTCCAGGAAGATCCCACATGCCGCGGAGCGGCTGGGCCCGTGAGCCATGGCCGCTGAGCCTGCACGTCCAGAGCCTGTGCTCCGCAATGGGAGAGGCCACAACAGTGAGAGGCCCGCGTACCGCAAAAAAAAAAAAAAAAAAATCCTCAAAAAAAAAAATTAATGTAGACATAGTGAACTGACTTGCCAATTGTTATTAGTAGCTGGTTAAATTATTATTAATTTTGATATTTGTTCTAAGTTATTTTTGCCTTGTGCTTTTAAATATTTGCTTTATTAAACCTTTGAAGGGTTTGAGGTGTTCATAGGAACATGGATGATTTTTTTTAGGTAATTGAGAATATTATCTGATTTTGTAATGTAAGACAATAAGTAAAATGATGCTAAATTGTGCTGGAATTAACCAAGGGTGCTGCAACGTCCACTGGGAATTTTTTAAAATTCAGCTAATATTCAGACTCATAAAATGACCACATATTGTACCTCTATATGTTCAGAAGGATATAGGACAGGAACATAGTTTGCTAGGAGGATAGCATCAGGTATTCCTCTTGATTCAGTGTCTTTGTAGCAGTTTATTCAGGGCAAAGGAGATGAGATCTATACTGGACAGGTGTGGAGGTTGCCCTGGTTTAAAAGCCTAATGCCCCACATGAGCTAAAATGTCTTGTAACAATTCTATCCACGTGGCTTTCAACCACCCACCAGGGACATACAGTTATAGGAGTCACTGCGCTCAGATAAGGGCAAAAGCATGAGGTTTCCAGTTGTAGTTCTCAGGTCGTTATTCCAGTTTAGATTGAGTTGACCAGTCAGGGGTCATCTTTACCATGAGCCGTATTGTCTAGGTAGCATTGTTGATACTCTGGCATTTATCAGGTAACTTGAGGAGCAAAACTAAAGAGTTAACCCAAGGTCAGATTCTCATGCATTAGGGGAAGAGGTTTTGGTTAACCTTTACCCACAGGCCAAAGCAAAATACCTGCCCTTCAGGAGCAGTCAGCTACTTGTACAGATAGTAGATACACCTTGAGTCCCTGGAGAGAATTGTACAGCCTGACACCTGCTCTCAGACATGACAACTGCAGTATGTGGTCCTTGATTGGGTGGAGGAAAGAAAACTGCTGTAAAGGACATTTTTGGGGACAATTGGAGAATTTATTTAGGTATGACAATGGTATCTTTTTTATGGAAGTGGGTACAGAATTTGGATCCTTTTGAAATTTAAGTTAAGCAAATTAGGAAGTAGCCAGTAGCTTGGGATGATTGATCGAAAGAACTTCTGCTCTATTTAGGCCCATGCTCCTCAGGAAGCTCAAAATCAATGAAAGAACCCTGTTCCAGAGAAATCAGAATTACTGGAGCCATTTTTTACAACTTAAAATCAGATTTAAGTAGCATTGAACTGTGTTTCTCATTTTGACTCTAACAGCCTAAGTTGTAAGCAGACTAATTGAGAAAAAGCTGTGCTTGTCCACCTTACTTTAGCCTGGAGGGCACAATTTCCTGACTAAGAGGTTGGCGCGAAGCCAGTGGAAACTAGTCCTGAACTTCTCTGGGGTTCTGCAGGCAGGTCCAGTGCCTTCTGCTCTGTCTTCTCAGCATACTGTCTAGATTTGGCGAACCTCTTTCCCTTTTCACCCTTTACCACTTATTTGGCTGGCTCTGCTTGGGAGAGATGCGTCAAAACCTCTCATTTGCTAATGGGAGCTATCTTTCATTTTCTTCATCTTTGTGGGTTTTATTCCATATTTCCCTTTTTATTTCTTTAACATCATTTTAGTGGATTTGTGGTGAGAAGCCAAAACAAGCCCTGCAATCAGGCTACCATCTTGAACCAGATATGTCTTCATAGTTTGGCAGAAAATACTTGAGAACAGTGATCACTTGAACTTCCTGACCAGTGCTTTAGGTGTTTTGTTTATTTCGCATGTCTTCTTTTTTTTTTTTGCGGTATGCGGGCCTCTCACTGTTGTGGCCTCTCCCGTTGCGGAGCACAGGCTCCGGATGCGCAGGCTCAGCGACCATGGCTCACGGGCCCAGCCGCTCCGTGGCATGTGGGATCTTCCCGGACTGGGGCACGAACCCGTGTCCCCTGCATCGGCAGGCGGACTCCCAACCACTGCGCCACCAGGGAAGCCCAAGAGTCCTGCTTTTTAAGTGTTTGAAAACCTCATTTGTAGTATGTGAGGAGAAATCTAGGCCTAGATATTTGAGGGATGGGAGAGAAAGTTGAAAAAAGAAAGTAGTCACGTAGTTGGAATTTATTGTCATTTTTCAAAAAATGGTAAGAAATTAAATCACTCCCTTCCTTAGTAATTGCTTTTTTCCCCTAGGATAATAGCCAAGGTTCTGGAGGACAACAAGCTGCCTGGTGCGATTTGTTCCTTGACTTGTGGTGGAGCGGATATTGGGTAGGTCAATAGTAGGCCCGGAGTGTCTTTCTGCTGAAGGGCTTGGGTTGATCAACTAGAATCATCTTTACTAGAATTTCGAAACTCGGTATAGCTCAGGAGGTGAGTGGTTTTTTGGAATCATTATTGTTACGGATCTCATTGGGCTTTACTTCATTACTGTGTAGCGTCTGTTGGAGGATGAGTGAGAACTGTCTTTTTCATTGCCCAGGGCTACTACTGTAAGGTGTTTATATCCTAAAATAACACCCTGCCGTACCACTGTGCAGCCCATGGCTTCCTAACGCTTGACTTATCAACGTGCTCACTTACAGAGCAAAGCTGTGGAATTGTGCTCTGGTTTCTCACTCCCCACCAAGGACCTAGCCTCTTCTCTGGGTTCTTCAGCTGACCAAAAAAGGGAACCCTGGAGACACAGCTTCTAATTTATTGTTTTTTAAAAATCATCATGTAATTCACATACCATAAAGTTCTCTCCTTAAAAATGTACAATTCAGTGGTTTTTAGAATAGTAAGTCACAGTGTTGTGCAACCATCCCCATTACCTCATTCCAGACATTTTTGTTACCCCCAAAGGGACCTGGTACCCATTAGCAGTCATTTCCCCCTCCCCTTCCCCTCGCAGCCCCTCATCGACTTCACGCCTGTTGGTTTGCCTCTTCGGGGTGCTTCAGGTAAATGGAATCATGCGGCCTTTATATCCGGCTGCTTTCACTTGGCAGAATGTCATAGCATCTTTTCAGCTGGAACGGACTGTACTGTCTCTGAACCATGGTGAAGCTGGTTCTAGTAGCCTTGACTGATTAGATGGCATTTCATAGGAGTCAGGTCTTAGAACCCTTACAGGTGTGATGAACGTGTTAGTCCCCCTCTAGCACTTTGACCGCACTATTGTACTTCATGGGCAGTCTCAAAAAGTTGTAATACATGACTCCTTTTTTTTAGGTAAGTGAGAAAATTTTATTTAGAAAATACAACTCCCACATAAAGAGTGCATAGTGAAGTGTTATCTAAATTGTCATTTAAAACAAATAGTCTATCCTTTGACCCGCTCTTTTCTTGTACTTTGGGCATGCAGTCCTTCACATTGGCCTTGGAATAGCTCGGATAATAACAATAATGTGTGCAGAAGGGCTTTACACAGCAACCCCCTTGAGTGTCAGTGCTCACATGTGCTGGGCTGACCTGGGAAGCCCACATGCACTGTCTGATCACACAGTTCCAGCCCTGCATTGGTCTGATGCTGTGGCTGCCTTGCTTGGCCCACACCAAGCCCTTTGAAACCCTGCACTATGAGCAAGAAGGTTCAGATCAGTAGTGTCTGGTCTGCATTCCTTAGAAACTGGAAATAGCACAGCCTTTCTGAGTCAGCTTCCAAGAAGGATACTTAGGATATTTCCCTACAGTCTTTAAAATTGTCTTCTTTTTTTGCATATTTTTTAAAAATTTATTTTTTATCTTTGGCCGCATTGGGTCTTCGTCACGGCATGCAGGCTGTTCATCGCGGCACATGGATTCTCTCTAGTTGTGGCGTGCAGTGTTCTCTCTCTAGTTGTAGCGTGTGGGCTCCGTAGTTGTGGCACATGGGCTCTCTCGTTGAGGCACATGAGCTTAGTAGTTGTGGCACGTGGGCTTAGTTGCCCCGCGGCATGTGGGATCTTAGTTCCCCAACCAAGGATTGAACCCACATACATCCCCTGCATTGGAAGGCGGCTTCTTTACTACTGGACCACCGGGGAAGTCCCTAAACTTTTAGTTCTTAAAGGAATCAGTTTTAAGAGACTGCAAAATAACTGGGATGCTCGTCAAGGAACTGCTACGGTTGTATTGTCCAGTCACCCATCAGTACAAGAAGGAATATCTTCCTTAGCAACATCCTTGTGATTTCTGTTTACGGAGAGCTCCCAGAACGGGTTAGTCTGTCCTGCTGTATGGTTCTCCTTGTGAAAATCATTTTCATGAAGACCTTCCCTTGCTCCCTTGGGATAGATCCTTGTGTCTTTTTTTTTTTTTAACATCTTTATTGGAGTATAATTGCTTTACAATGGTGTGTTAGTTTCTGCTTCGATCCTTGTGTCTTTCACTGACGTCTTTCCGTGACAGGGGTTTCAGAGTTTTCTGGCTTGGCACCGTCGAGTGCCACCATTGCTGGGTTTCTCTGCTTGGGTGACCGTGTCTCTTCCCCTTGCAGCACAGCCATGGCCAAAGATGAGCGAATGAACCTGCTGTCCTTCACTGGGAGCACTCGGGTGGGAAAACAAGTGGCTCTTATGGTGCAGGAGAGGTTTGGTAAGTGTTGGCTTTATATCGAGCTTTTAATTCCCTCAGGTATGGATATGAAATAAAGGTTGGGTTTTTTTCCTTGTCTCTTTCCATGGAGGCACCAGCTGTGTTTATTTGAATGTCCAAGTGAAAGGAAGGGTACAGTTAATAGTGGCTTAATATCAGGGAGATAGCAGATTTAATAGCATAATTTGGAAAAGGATGTCATTCCCTCCCTAAATGACCATAGTAGAATCATATCAAATGTACTTATCAATTTCTATCAGACTGGTTTGGCAAATAAAAAAGAAAACTGACATTTAAACAGGACCAGTGAGAGTACAGGACCTAGAATGAATGTTGTGTAGAAGACTTACATCTGTTTTTCTCTCATTTCTGTTTCATGCATATATGACTGAAAAGGGCTGTAAGACATAGCTTTGTATCTCTACTTTATGGCTCATTAAAGAGGTTTTCTAGGATAATATTTATGGTCAATTTTTGCCTATTTTGCTGATTTAGACTAACCCTAGCATAAGGTGAGATTCGAATAGTTAATCTGTCAGCTATTTTGCTATATGGGCATTGCTTTTATAAAGGAAGTTTACAAACTATTAGAGCTAATAAACATGGTTGGCAAGGTTGCAGGATACAAAAATCAGTTGTATTTCTATACATTAACAACGAGCAATCTGAAAATGAAATTCATAAAACTTTCATTTACAGTAGCATCAGAAAGAATAAAATTCTTAGGAATAAATTTAACAAAAGAAGTATAAGTCTTTCACACAGAGTACCACAAAGCATCACTGAAAGAAATTTTAAAAGACCTAAATAAATGTAAATACCTCCCATTTTCACTGTTTGGAAACAATTTAATATTATTACTGCCCAAGATCAGTACTGTCCAAGTGATTTGCAGATTGAATGCAATCCTTTTGAAAATGTCACTTGGCTTCTTTGTAGAAATGACGAGCTGATTCTAAAGTTCATATGAAATGCAAGGGACCCCAAATAGCCAAAACAATCTTGGAAAGAACAAAGTCAGAGGACTCACACTTCCCAATTTCAGAATTTATTACAGAAGTATAGTAATCCAGATTGTGTCCTGGCATAAATATAGAAAAATCAATGGAATAGATTGAGAGCCCAGAAATGCACGCTTACACTTATGGTCAAGGATGCCAATACATTTCAATGAGGAAAATAGTCTTCAACAAATAGTGCTGGGACAACTAGATAACCATAAGGTATGTATGAAGTTGGACCCCAACCTACCCCTATACACAAAAATTAATTTAAAATCTATCAAAGACCTAAAGGTGAGAGCTAGAACTATAAAATGCTTGAAGGAAACATAGGAATAGGTCTTTGTGACCTTGGGTTAGGCAGTGGTTTCTTAGATATGACACCTAAAGCAGAAGCAACAAAAGAAAGAATAGATAAATTAGACTTCATCAAAATTAAAAACTTTTCTGTTTCAAAAGATCAGGACTTTGCTGGCGGTCCAGCGGTTGAGACTTCGCCTTCCAATGCAGGGGGCACGGGTTTGATCCCTGGTCGGGGAGCTGAGATCCCACATGCGTCGCAGCCAAAAAACCAAAACATAAAACAGAAGCAATATTGTAACAAATTCAATAAAGACTTTAAAAATGGTCCACATTAAAAAAAAAAAAAAAAAACTTAAAAAGGGCACACCATCAAAAAAATGAAAAGAGGGCTTCCCTGGTGGCGCAGTGGTTGAGAGTCCGCCTGCCGATGCAGGGGACGCAGGTTCGTGCCCCGGTCTGGGAGGATCCTACATGCCACAGAGCGGCTGGGCCCATGAGCCATGGCCGCTGGGCCTGCGCGTCGGGAGCCTGTGCTCCGCGGCGGGAGGGGCCACAGCGGTGAGAGGCCCGCGTACCCCCCCCAAAAAAAAAAAAAAGTGAAAAGAACAACCTATAGAATGGGAGAAAATATTTAGAAATCCTTTATCTGATAAGGGATTTATGTCTAGAATATATAAAGAATTGTTACAATTCAGTAATATAAAAGACAACCCAATTAAAAAATGGGCAAGCATTTGATTAGATGATTTCTTCAAAGATAAACAAATGTCCAGTAAGTATGTGCAGTGGTGCTTAAGATCGTTAATCCTGCTTCTCCCACTGGAAGATACTGTCCTCCTCCCTATGCCTCCTTTTAACTCAAAGCGGTAGTTTGTAGTTCTCTGATAAGTAGTACCATTAGTAGGATTACAATTTTTAAATGATGCATCTGCCTGTCTTAAGTTGTAGGTGCTTTTCCTGGAGGGGGTTGGTGGTTTTGAACATGGTTAGGGAGCACATAGAGAATTGGAAGGATATGGAAGGTACAGATGGAATTGTCAGATCTTATGGTTATACTGTGTTGGGAAATTGTCATACAATTTTCCAAAGTGACTGCACCATTTTATACTAACTGGAGTTTTGGGGGATATAATTTTAAACTTGGAGAAATTCCAAGACTAACTCAAGGAATTCCCATATTCCCTTTAATGAGTTTTACCAATTGTACCATTTTTAAAATCACTTTCTCTCTACCAGCATGCACACACACACACACACACACACACACACACACACACAAACATATATATTGTGAGAGCATATTTTTGAACCTTTTGAGAAAATTGAAGACATTGTATTCCTTTACCACTAAATGTGTTTTGTGTGTTTCCTAAGAACAAGGACATTCGATCATATAACCATGATACAATTATTAAAATCAGGAATCTAGACATTGATGCGATGCTCATGCTTTTTTTTTCCCTTGAAAATTTTTTAAGAGTTACAGTTTATTTATTGTCATGCTATGTTTTAAATCAGAAAATAAATTAAAACAATTGGGATAGGCTATGATTTGAGGCCGTGTAGCTGTGTGCATTAAACAATGAAATAGGAATTAATTTGTGTTTATATATTTTAAAGGGAGAAGTTTATTAGAACTTGGAGGAAACAATGCAATTATAGGTAAGGCTGCCTTTTCTTCTTTGTTTGCGTGCTTTCTGTTTAGAATATCTTCAGTAGCCATCCTGAATGTATAGAACTTGTGTAAGAACTCATCCCTTTTATGTTGTGTGTCCCATGCTTAGGAACTTTCCTTGTGAGACAGGACACATGGTTTGCAGGCGGAAATAACTAGGAGGGAAAGGCGTTCATGTTTGGAAAATGTTACCTGGGGCTTAGAATCTGTGTATGAGAGTTTCTAATGTGTCATTGTTTCTTGTTTTCCTTCTGTTTTTTGAAAACTGGCCACATGTTTCTCTAGAATAAATAAGTAAGTAACTCTATGTGACCTGCTGTTTCCAGAAACATTAGTTCGTATTCAGTGGGGTACTGAGTGCTTTTACATTGGGAAGGAACACTTCCTTAAGGCATTTTATCATTTACCTATAGTCTTGGAGATTATTTAATTCTCTTTTTCACTGGTTTGACACAAAAGGAAATAGTCTACCAGCCTAACTTCTGGATAATATAATGAACATCAGTTGGTTGAGACTTCATAGAATCATGAATTTTATGCTAAAAACTTGCTAATTGTATATTGCCATCATTATCATCATGTTTAAGTGCTTATGTGTTTGTGGGGTACACCAGAAATATAAAAATTATATGGTGAGGGGTTTGTTTTGGATGAACTTCTGATTTCGTAAAAGAGAGAGTTGATTAGAAAATATAGTTAGCGTTTATTGATCAGTGGGTATGTGTCAGGCACTGTGCTCAGTTTTTTCATGTGCAATATGTCATTTAATCCCCACAGTAATCCCATGAGGTAGATACCTTTATTAATCTCATTTGAAGGTTACACCCTGAGGCTTAAAATGATTATGTGCCTGAGTGACAGAGCCAGCATTTGTATCCTCGCAATCAGACCCCAGAGCATAGCTGTCTTCCTAAAACTCCTTACTATCGTCCGTTAGTACCCCAGATAATGTTATCCCATTTTATGGATGAGGAAACTGAGGCTTAAAAAGTTAAAATAACACGATGAAAAAGTGGTGGTGATGGATAAGAGCTTCGGTCTGTTTGGTTGTGTAATCCACCTTCTTAACCATCATGCTAGTCTGAGAATGCTCTTAGACTGGACAGGGGAAAATTGAAGATGTAAGAGGGAATTGGGACTGTAAGTTTCTGGAAGGGATAGAAAGGAAGGAATTATAAGTAATACAATGGATCGATGGACGGGTAACCTTGTAAGGACTATGCTAGTTTTTTCTTCGGAGGGCAGAAGAGGAGCAGGAAGGAATAGACAAAAGTAGAGAGCAGTCTGAAAGTGATTTTGCACTGATCTCTTCAGAGATGCAGAGGAAGCAGGAAAGGGCCTTGGGTGTGATCACTTTGAGATTTTCCTCGAAGTAAAGGGTGAAGTCATCTGGAGCAGGACTAAAGGGCTGGAGGGGTTTGAGACATTTGAAAAAGCTTCTGTAGCGGGGAGAACAAGAGGCATTTTAGGGAATGGACTGATGCAGATGAGGGTGCAGAGGTTGTTGGAGAGCTTGGTTTGATGGCGGTAATAAATCAGAAGGATCCCACTGACTTCTGTGGGCCCAGGGAAGCTGCCATCTAAATGGGTGGTGGGGTTGAGACTGGAGGCAAGTAAGACTGACAAAGACAGTGGTGCTTTTAGAGAAGAGACCACATGAAGGTGCAGAGAAGGCTTAGTCAGCACCAGAAACTTCAGAGAGGTGAAAGATGAAGAGGTCAGAGGAGGGGGAGCTCATTGCTCTCTTCTCATATCATTTTCTTTGGGAGAAAAGTTGCCTCTGCGGTATGAACTTGCTTATTTTACAAGGATAGTTCTGGCGTTCTCTCACTGCACTTTCTAAAGGCATCATCTTATACCAGTTAGTAAAGTACCTTGTCTGCCTACCTCACAACACTGATGGATGTGTTTCTGCTTCCCTAAGCTTTTGAGGATTCGGACCTCAGCTTAGTCGTTCCCTCAGCTCTCTTTGCAGCCGTGGGGACAGCCGGCCAGAGGTGTACCACTGCGAGGCGCCTGGTGAGTGTTTCTGCGTGGGCACATGAGAGTGTCCTCCTCTTCCAGTGCTGCTTTTCAACACATTGTACTGTTAAGGAGGTGTAGTAGAAACACTGCTAGAAACGTGTATTCCCTGGATGTGGTTGGCAAGCACGTGGCCCTGCTGCTCTGTTCTGTGCTCCTGGCAGTTGCTGCTGGTCAGAGAGGGACTCTGCCTTACCTCCCCAAGCTGAACGTGGTCCAGTCCTCATTGACTGGAGTTGGACGTGGGTGATGAGACCTGCTTTCAGTCCTACACCTAGAACAATGTGGACAAAGTCCCTTGTCACTTAGAGAATAAAACAAGATAAACATTTGAAACATTCACAACTATTTGCTAAAAGGTAGACAGTCTTAGCTGTCATGTAAAAACATTTTAAGTAGTAAAATATTTTAAAAAATTAAAAATTTTTGGCTTATAGGTCAAGTCTTAGATTTGACTTGATGTGACGTAGTTTATTGGAAAGTAAATATATGTGTGTTCTCTATATAAGTGTATAAGTCTGCATGCATATATATAGGACACATTAATATTAAGTGCATGTGAGGAGAGTGGTTTCGCTTCAGTGTTCGGGGTTTGGGAAGTTTAATCTCCACACTTAGATTTGAGCTGGATTTTAAAATGTTTTTGTATGAGGTACAACCTTGATTTTCATGACTCATACTATTGAAAAACTGGGCCAAACCAGTTTTGATTAGGTAGAAAAATTTGGCTACAATTGCCTTTTTAAATTATTATTGTTGAGTTTTCCTCCTGTAATTAAAAAAAAATAAACAGTTTACAATTGAATTATGGAGGAATTGGCTTTGGGTTTTTTCTCTTACCCACAATGAGTATGAACAAATTCTTTATAAGGTTGACATAATCTAAATTAATTAGAATAGATAAAAAATATAGGGAAATTAAGCCTTTACCTTTGCCATAACTTTTCATATTCACTTTTTCCTGTATTTTACAATGAATGAGTATCTTTCCTTTGTTTTTATATTACTCAGTTGACGTGGTATGAATTGCGGTATGAACTTGCTTGTTTTACAGGGATAGTTCTAACGTTCTCTTACTGCACTTTTTTCTTTTTTCTATTTATTTGTTTATTTAAATGTTGCTCTGCGGATTTCACCGGCAGAAACCCAGAGCCTGCACTTTCTAAAGGCATCATCTTATACCAGTTAATAAAGTACCTTGTCTGCCTACTACGATAGAATATCTAAGCTACGATGTTTGTAAAGTATTTACAATTTATTGAATTTGTTCACCTTAAACATTTATTACCTTAAGGCTAAGAAGGAAACAGGGGTACTCCAAAAGATTATAATCTTAATTACATGGTAAACTATGAAATGACATTAAAGTCAAGCATTTCTTTATTTGGTCAACCTTTATTTTTCCTTTGTGTTCTGGAGCAAATATACATAGCCAGGCTTTATATTTAGTGTCAAATATTGGAGGATCCTGTTAGTCATAACCCAAATCAATTTTTGTAGGGACTGTAGTGCTGTACAGAAAAATCCATTCCAGTACTATGGACCTCTCTGTGATTTATCGTTGGTCCTCTGTATCCATGGTTCTTCCAAATCTGCAGATCCAACCAATTGGGAACCATGTAGTCCTGTAACATTTACTGTCGAAAAATATTTTTATACAGGTGGACCCGTGCAGTTCAAACCCATGTTGTCCAAGGGTCAACTGTATAAATCAGTACTGTTAAGAAAAATTGAGGGAATTCCCTGCTTGTCCAGTGGTTAGGACTCCGCGCTTTCACTGCTGAGGGTGCAGGTTCAATTCCTGGTTGGGGAACTAAGACCTACAAGCTGTGCACCACGGCCAAAAAAAAAAAAAAAAAAAGGTTGGGGGAAAAAAAAATTTGTGCATTTTTAACAATTTCGTACATTTATTTGTGCTATTTAATAGTTCATTTATATGTACTAATCCCTTGAATGTTTCTTTTTTCATTTAGTTTTTACATGAAAGCATTCATGATGAAGTTGTTAATAGACTTAAAAAGGCCTATGCACAGATCCGTGTTGGGAACCCATGGGACTGTGAGTATCTGGTTGATTCCAAAGATGTTCCTTTTTGACAGATGGTGTTATAAGAGTTTCTGATTTTCTACTTTTATTTTTTTCCCTTTCCTGAGAGGCCCGAGGGAATACAAAGCAGTGTATTTTGCATTTGGGGTGACACGTCTGCTCCTAGTTTAGGATCTCAGTGCTTGACGTGGGCCGGTGGGTGAGCTTGGGAGATGGTATTGAGATGGGATGAGTTTGAGAAGCTTTTCCCTCTTCACTTCCCTCCTCCCAGATACCACCATCCTCCCTCATGCAAGGTTGCAAGAGTCACCTGCCTGACTTTTCTGCTTCCACTTCTGTCTTCCACCATAACCAAAGTAATTTTTAAACATGTAATTAAATAATTCACTCTCTTGCTAAAAACACTCATCACTGTTTGACTAAAACTTGGATGCCTTTTGAGACCCTTTTTGCAAGCCCACAGTCTTTTGTGATCTGACCCCGGCTGTGTCCCCTTCTGGACCCGCTGTGCGCCATTTGCCCCGTTGCTCCCGGAGCTCCAGCTTCTCCAGCCTTCTTTCAGTGCTCTGGACATTCCAGGCTCTGCCCTGCTGGAACTGCTCTTTGCCCAGTCCTTCCCGCCTCCTCACTGAGGCCTACCTATATCTTCCTTCTTACTCTGTCTCACGGTCACCTTTAATGCTCTGGTTTCTGACAGCCATACAGAGGGAGCATCAGCCTCTTCCCCTTAAATTGTTCACCGACTGCTGGTTCTGTGAGGTTCTTAGAGAATGATCACCCTGTAATAAGCAGAGCCTATATTTTTACTGCAGGACTCTGATGAATTGATAGCTCTTTCCCTAGATTTGGCCCTCCGTGCTTCTGTATAGAAAGCTTATGAGGACCCAGCCATACCTTCTTTTGTGCATATCTTCTGTGGCTGCTTTTGCACTACAAAACATACCAAAACATACCAATTGGTGGAATTGAGTAGTCGTGGCAGAGACCACATGACATGCAAAGTATTAAATAGTTACTGTCCGGCTCTTAGCAGAGAAAGGTTGCTGACTCCTGCTCTCAACTGAGGGGATATATGAAGGGATTGGTCTGTTCATTGGGAAAGCTGTTTAATTATAAAATGATGCCAGTTAGGGTGAAATGAAGAGCATTCCTTTTTCTTTCCAGCTAATGTTCTCTATGGGCCACTCCACACCAAACAGGCAGTGAGCATGTTTCTTGGAGCAGTGGAGGAAGCAAAGAAAGAAGGTGGCACCGTGGTCTATGGTGGCAAGGTAATGGCAACTTGAGATCAGGAGTGACAGGTTCTTTGTTTTCCTTTCGCACAAGCAGGGCTCTGGGTAAATTGATGAAGGGTGCCTGACTGCCACTTTTCTTTTCTCCATCCCTTTTATAACGGGGAAATACATACTTTAAAGAATCACAATGTAACATGAATGGAAAATTTCTGGAAAGACACAACTCAGAGCCAGGGTTGCCTATGAATTGAGTCCCTGGGAATTTGTATGGAAGGGAGACCTCTTTTTCATGGTATGGAAGACTGTATTTAGTGCAATTTAAAATCCGCATTTAGGGCTTCCCTGGTGGTGCAGTGGTTGAGGGTCCGCCTGCCGATGCATGGGACATGGGTTCGTGCCCCGGTCCAGGAGGATCCCACACCGTGGGCCATGGCCACTGAGCCTGTGCTCCACAACGGGAGAGGCCGCAGCGGTGAGAGGCCCGCGTACTGCAAAAAAAAAAAAAAATCCACATTTAGTAGTGATTATTAAGTCATTTAAGGCAGGGAATCAAAAAAAAAAACATACCAAAAGCATTTTTAACACATATTACTGTTGTCGATGAAAAATTAGTTGATTTAAGAAAGAAATGGAAATTTTTATTTGAGCCAAATCGAGGATTATAACCCGGGAACAGCACCTCAGAAAGCTCCGAGAACCGTTCTACCTGCTAGAAGTCAAGGCAGTTATATAGGTTTTTTAGACAGAGGGCTGTACATTGAATGACGTATCTTTGACAGTTTACACAATCTAGATCTAAGCATCTAAGCGTCATCATGGCCCCTTACAATATAAGGAATGTTGTCTTTTAAGGAGTTGTCTTGGTGGTGCTAGGAGAATGTTGCTGTTTATGGTTGAGCAGGTATTTCTGCCAATGGGGAGGTTTGGTTGATGCATGATACAGATACACAGTGCACAGTTGAGGGGAGAGAGGAGGTCATAGGGCAGAGAAAGTTTTTGATGTTTAAATTTTTCTTGTCTTCCCATAAAATATGAATTTCATTTCACACCATATTTGTTTGATTCTTGAGATGTAGATTCAAGGCGTTTTCTTCGTGTATGATAGGAATTTGTCTTCATCCTTGAATAAGCTATACATGTAATTTATTATCTACAATTTATTTTCACTTCTTTAAAATCACTGAAAACTGAGTCTCTTGGCAAAGCTCTCTGAGAAGCAGAATCCTTCTCCCTAGTCTCTCAATGTTGACATACCCACATCTCATTGGATAGAGATGTGTATGTGTACTTTTTGTTACTTACCTTGAGTTTTTTTAAGCATTTTAACTTAATCTTTAGAAGTAGCTCTTTTTTCCCCTTTGTGTAATATTTACTTAAGTTACATAATGCAATATGGTATTGTAATAACAAATACAGCTGCCACATACAGGGTTGGGAGTAAATACAGATGACTCTTGGTAAACGTACAGCTCAGAGGGTGAGAGCAGAATTACACAGTCACCCTGGAGAGCTGACCGCCAGCCAAGCAGCTTGCTGCAGGCATCAGAATATTTTATAGAAGTTAAGTGGAGATGAACTAGTAATTTGATTATGTGGAGGTTAGTTAGGAGAGTGTCTATAGTATACCCTTTTAGAGCTTTTGATTTCTGTATTAATATGTTAGTTTGCTAGGGCTGCCATAGCAAAATATCACAGACTGGGTGGCTTAAACAACAAATTTGTCTCACAGTTCTGGAAGCTGAGTCCCAAATCACGGTGCTGGCCGGGTTGATCCTTCCTGGTGAGGCCTCTGTCCCTGGCTTGCAGACGGCCACCTTCTCTCCATGTCCTCACATGGCCTTTCCTCCCTGCCTGGAGAGAGGAGGTCCCTGGTGTCTCTTCCTCTTCTTATGAGGAATTATTTCTATCTGATTAGGGCCTCACCCACATGACCTCATTTAACTTTACCTCCTTAAAGGTCCTGTCTCCAAATTTAGTCGTAATGGGAGTGGGGTGGGTTTAAGGCTTCAACATAAGAATTTGGGGGTGTGGGTATGGGCACAATACAGTTTGTAACAGAACAGGTATAGATTACCTCTTTTAAAATTATGTGAAGTTAAAAAATAACCACCAGCATTTTTTCCCTGTAACTTGGTCATGATGCACGGCACAGCTCTCTATCCTTGACTCCTTTATTCTATTTTTTTTCTAACCAACTAAGTTAGAACCAATAAGGGGCAGAGAAAATTTTCATTCATGATGGGAGGTTATTTTGGAGAAATAATTCACTTATAAATGGTGTTTATTTTTTTTTTCTCAAAATTATAAACAAAGATGGTATCCTCTGACTTCAGGAACCAGAAAACAAAATGCTCTTGTTTTTATTTCCTTTCTCTACTGCAGGTTATGGATCGCCCTGGAAATTATGTAGAACCGACAATTGTGACAGGCCTTGACCACAACGCGTCCATTGTACACACAGAGACTTTTGCCCCAATTATTTATGTCTTTAAATTCAAGGTAAAAAACTGGATTCCTTCTCTCTTTTCTCTAGTTCAACATTGAAACAAGTGAGAAGACTAGGAGAAAATAAAAGTATGTTAAATTTCTGTCGGACTTTAGGGAGGTTTTAGAAAGTCACTCCGATTAGTAAAGATTTGAAGGTTAAGGACAAACTATGATGAGACGAACACTTTCAACAATAGAGCATAAGCTAGCTGCCAGGGGAATTAAGACAAGTAGAGGGCCAACATTGAAATTTATGGAGAACATTGCCCTCATCACCTGTATCAGCTGTGTTGATAGACTATGAAGTCAGCTTCTGCACAAAAGGGACGAGGTAGTTTGATAGTCTGAGTGCTAAGTATCAGTGGACAAAATGAGAAGATACAAGGGCAATTTGTAGACATACAATTACAACTTGTATCAGAGGACAGGCTGTGGAGGTTTTAACAGATAAAGGTAACTAGAGGGTCTCCTTCCCAGCCCGTGACAGGCCCTACCATGCCAGCAGATGTCTAGAGATTGAATCAAGGCTTGGCTGTGCCATGATTAACAGTTGAAGGATGATGAGATTTATACCTTGTTGCAATTATATGATTGCACTAATTAAAATCTTGCTTTAAGTTGTCTATTATTGTTTCACATAATGTGACTACAGAGTGTAATTTCATGTTTTGCCTTGTGTCTGTGTGTTTGACTGTGAGTTCCTGAGCAAATCATTTAGCCTCTCTTGCCTAATCTGTACATTAGGGATAATACAGAGCCTGTGTCATTGGGTGAGGATTAAATGTATAAATGCATGCTCAGTGCCTACGTCAGTGTGTTGCACATAGTAAGAGCTCAGTAAATAACAGCTCTTATACGTAGTGGCTTGAATGGAAGAATGTACTCATGTTTTTCTCAAAGTTCAGGTAAGGGGAAAATCCCACAAAGCACTGTACAAGATAAACAGAATTAGGAAGATGTTGACTCCTTAGTTTCCTTTTGTGCACTAAAATTATACTGGTAAATTTCACGAAATGAGTGAAATTTACCAGAAATGAGTTTACTATTAGTCAGTTTGGACCAGAACAGTGTGTATCATCTAACAGCTTCCAACGCCTGTCCTTTTAGAATGAAGACGAGGTCTTTGCATGGAATAATGAAGTAAAACAGGGACTTTCAAGTAGCATCTTTACCAAGGATTTGGGCAGAATCTTTCGCTGGCTTGGGTATAACTTTGTCTATTTTGAAAACTTACGTAAGTCTGATTTATGTGGTGAATGGACTATAAAAAAAGAAAATGAAACCATCATAGGTGAAAATATTTTTTTAAATAAATTTATTTATTTATATTTTTAAATTTTGGCTGTGTTGGGTCTTCGTTGCTGCACGTGGGCTTTCTCTGGTTGCAGCGCGCGGGGGCTACCCTTCATAGCGGTTGTGCATGGGCTTTTCATTGCGGTGGCTTCTCTTGTTGTGGAGCACGGGCTCTAGGCGCACGTGGGCTCAGTAGTTGTGGCTCGTGGACTCTAGAGCGTAGCCTCAGTAGTTGTGCACGGGCTTAGTTGCTCCGTGGCATGTGGGATCTTCCTGGACCAAGGATCCAACCCATATCCCCTGCATTGGCAGGCGGATTCTTAACCACTGCGCCACCAGGGAAGTCCCCTATTTTATTTATTTATTTATTTATTGTTTAGCATTGAGAGTCTTAGAGGTTTTGTTTGGATTATTTATTCGTTTCTGTATATTTGTTTTGTATGTGTGTGTGTGTGTTTTTCCTTTTTATTTATTTATTTATTTTTACCTTTCACATATTTTGCTTTCACTTTGCCTCCCTTTTTACACACAGCCCAAAAGGATCAGACTGTGGCATTGTAAACGTCAACATTCCAACGAGTGGGGCTGAGATTGGAGGTGCATTTGGTACGTAGAGAATCCTTTCTCCTTTTTCATGTTGGCCAGTTTATTAGTCTGCCGGGGCTGCCATAACAAAATACCAGACTGGGTGGGTCAAACAATAGAAATGTGTTTTCTCACATTCTTGGAGGCTGGAAGTCCAAAATCAAGGTGTTGGCAGGTTTGGTTTTTCCTGAGGCCTCTCTTCTGGCTTGTAGATGGCCGTCTTCCTCCTGTGTCCTTGCATGGCCTGTTCTCTGTGCATGTACGTCCCTGGTGTCTCTTTATCTTCTTATAAGGACATTAGTCCTATTGGCTTAAAACCCCACCTTTATGACTTCATTTAACCTTAATTACCTCCTTAAGGGCCCTGTTGCCAAATACAGCTAGCCACGTTCTAAGGAATTGGAGGTTGGGGCTTCGACCTATGAAATTGGGGCAGAGGAACACAATTTAGTCCATAACAGGTGGCAAAGAAAAAGCACTAGTCTTTTAGAAAAGTTTGACCAAAACACTGAAATAATAATCTTATCTGGTCTGACATGCTCGAGAGAGCTTATGCTCTATATTCAGAGTTATTGTCCAAGGTCCTACATTTTATTCTCAGATGCAGCATCATGTTAGAACAGGGGCCCTTCACCTGAATTATGTGAACTCCTGAAATGGCATCTGTTTTCTTGGGAGATGCTTGAAGACCCCAAAAAGATTAAGAACCTCTGCTTCAAAGCCAGAAAATTTCACATGAAAATTTTTGGTTTTTATTTGCAAAGTGGGCATAGTAAATATTATACACTATCTTTTATCTTAGATAAAATATTGAGTTGTTTCTTTTCATTAGGCCCAGCTCCTCTTTTCTCTTAATGAGCCTGGGGCTCTTGATGCTTAAACTTAGTACTAACAGTAAAAGTTTTTTTGTTTTTTTTTTTAAAAGAGGCCTTCCCAACAATCATATATTAACTTATTAAAAATTATCCAAAATATAGTAAAAACAGATTGCATTATTTATATATATATATATACACACACAGAGAAGTAAAACAAACATACATTAATACCTGTAAAATTTAAATAATTAGAAGCATTTTTTTTTGAAGCATTCTTTTATACATTTTAAAGCAGAGGGCAATTACTATTCAGCGTACAGACAGTGATAAACGTTCCTGATTTCAGCTTAGCCGTTTATCTCTGTGCTCCACTATTAAGTGAGTGTCTGCTCCTTCTGTAGGCCCTCAATCCCTGTTTTCCGCCCATGCCTTCTCTCTCCAATTGACTCTTTTATTTCAGCCTTTACACTTCATTTCTAAAGTTTTTAAAAAGTCTCATTAATGGAAAAGGCAGTTCTGCCCCATACTTTGCTTTTCCTCCTCCTTTCCCGGAGGCAGCTACTTTGAGATTCTTACTGAAGGAAAAAGGAAATTGACCTTTGAATTTACTTCAGTTTTTCTAAGTAATGTGCTTTAACTGCTCTTTCACAACTTTAGACATTATGTACTGACCCTTTGTTATCATAGATTAACTTTCTTAAACCCTCTCTCTCTTTTCCTGTGAGCCGTTATTGCACAGGGTGAGGTCTAGAGAAGACGAGATACTAAGTGTCTGGCTCCTAAGTCTTCTCCCAGTGTAGTCACAGAAGATGTGCTTAATTCTTCCTGCATCGGATTGTGACAACATATGTGAAACATTGTCTACCAGCAAAGCATAGAGACTCAGTACCCAAGGCTTTTATTGGGGGTCGGTCACACAGGCAACCTCTGCCTAAGCACCCAAATTCCAGACTCCCTGAAGGAAAGCAGGTATTTAACATAAACCACATTGTTTGCTCAATGAGACAGTGTAGGGGACTGTTAAGCCTACAAGTTTCCAGATGCTAGCAACATTGTAAGCAGACCTGCTATGTCTTTTCTGCACAGATTGTAAGTTTTTCTCAGCCTTTGGAAGCTATAACTTACTTGTCTTCTGGTTTCCATTACTGTGGTTGAAAAGCCCAATCCACTTTGATTTCTGGTCTTTTTTTCCCCCATTTCAAAAAATTTGGGGTCTGTTATTTATGTCTGATGTTCTGAAATTCTTCAGTAATATGCCTCAATGGAGATCTTGGTAAACATTTTTGTTGGACAGTCAATGGGCCAGTAATTGGCCTTAACATTGGGACTCACAGTTTTTAGTTCTGGGAAGTTTTTGATAGTTTTATTTTGTTTTGATAGTGTTTCTTTGACAATTTTTTCCCTTTGATTTTTCTGTATTTTAATTTATAGAACTAGTATTTGAATGTTATCTGTTGAAGAATTATCTAATTGTGTTATTTTTTCCCCTTTTATTTTCCATCTCGTTAGTCTTTTGGGGAGATTTCCTCAAATTTTTCTTCAAAACACTTCTTTGTTTTTTTCTCCTCTGCTCTTACTAAAAACGATACTAAGTGTGCTTTGAAGGCACGCTTTTAAACAGTACCCTTTTCTTGTTTTATGGAATCATTATCCTTTTTGTAACCTTTAAAAATAATGACATTTAAACATTTTTATTATAAAATCAGTTTATGTATAACGTAGAAAATAATATACAGATAAGCATAAATGGGAAAATAAAATTACATTTCCACTATTCAGAGGTTTCCACTCGTAACACCTTGGTCTAATGGTAAGTTTTTTTTTAAGGTGCTTCCTGACATTTCTGTTTTTTTGGTTAATTCCTTTTACTTTATTTTCCAACCTAGTTCCCTTTTTCCCATTTGGTTTGGTCTCTGTCTTTTATCTATTTGTTTGCAAAGGGGATACTCTGGCTACCTGTTGGTCAGGTGGCTCTGGTCTCCTGGTGTCTTCATTTCTGTGATCCTGAGTAGGAGCCCACGCAGAGGCACTGCGCAAGATTCATGAGCTGCTTGTATATTTCTCTAGGAGGAGAGAAGCACACTGGCGGTGGCAGGGAGTCTGGTAGTGATGCCTGGAAACAGTACATGAGAAGATCTACTTGGTAAGGAAAGGCTTTGGGAAAATGGTTTGGCTTTACAGCCTCTGGAATGTGCTTCTACAGTCTCCTACTGTCTGTTCTGTTCGTGCAGTTTCTCTTGATTTTATGTTTCTAACATTCCACAGCTCTCCCCTCCCAGAGCATCTATTTGGTGCTATTATTTTCCTACCCATCTTTCCAGCTTCAGCTAGTGCCCAGCGCCTGACTGTGAAACCGTCTCGGTAGTGGTTCCTGTCTAGAGACAGCACAGGAGCAGGACAATTGGGGTCAACCAGCAGGAGAAAGTGGAAGAGGCTGTCCTTTCAGTTTTTTTCCTTGGGTACAGTTACCACCCCTGCAGGCTGCCAGGGCAGTAGGACATGGAGGTGGGCAGGTGGGCTGCGGGCCTGGCTAGCGAGCTGGGGGATACAGCTCTGGGAATAGTGAGCACAAGCTTTGAAAGTGGATTAGCACGTTCACCCAGCCCAAGGGTAGCTGGCAAGGGAACCTGTTGCTGGGACGTTCTGGCTAGGAGCTGCTTTTTATTTGTTTTCTGTTTTCCCTCCCTCTTGGGTAGAAATCACTTTATCCAAGAGCAGTAAAATGGTGTGTGGGGTCAGGCCCATGTCGTGTTAGGTTGTAGAAAGAGCACAGGGTGAGGAACCCAGGACACCATCTGTCTCATTTACTGCTTCTCACTGGCTCTGGAACCTCCTGGGGAGGGGGGTTTCCTACACCTTCGCTCATTGTCTCCTCAGCAACTTCATGTCTGTTAGGAATTTTTTTTTCCCCTCCAGCTTTATTGAGGTATAATTGACAAATTAAATTGTAATATATTTAAAGTGTGCAGCATGATGATTTGACATACACATACATTGTGAAAAGATTCCCACAATCAAGTTAGCACATCCTTTACCTCACAACAGTGTGTGTGTGTGTGTGAGTGTGTGAGTCAGAGTGAGAGAGCGAGCGAGAGAGAGCGAGCGAGCTTAAGATCTACTCTTAGCAAATTTCAAGTATATATCAGGAGTTTCTGAGTTGCTTTGGCTGTGGCTCGTTTACTCTCAGACACATGCATGCTCTTTGTCTGATTCCCATTTGTTGAAGTCCGTTATGTTCCTTTTACTTTTCTTGTGTACTTGAGATCTAGGGGACCAAGCATGTAGCTGCAGCCTTTTTGGTATCCATCTGACGGAGACACTTCCTCTCAGGAGAAAAGCCAGATGACTGACTAAGAGGGAATCTTTTATTTTCCAAATTATTATAGTTTTATTTTATTTCTATCAGAATGGGAATATCTGTATTTTTCCTCCTAATTCAGTACAAGTTATTGAGAGACATAAAGAAGATGAAGTTATAATCCCCATATTCTTGTGCCCTAAAAACCATTACTAACACATATGCTGTGTGTCTTTCCAGAATTTTGTATTTCTCTTATTTTTTCTTTTATAAAACTGGATCTATACTAATTTTTTTTGTATCCTTATTTTTTTCTTCATTAACTTATAACTTGAATATTTGACCTTGTTAATATATGCAGATCAGACACATTTTTTTAATGGCATAAAATTTCCTCTATTACGTGTATACTATCCATTTAATTTTGTTCATTTTTCCCCCCCTTAGTACCATCAACTACAGTAAGGAACTGCCTTTGGCCCAAGGAATCAAGTTTCAGTAAAGTTGCTTTCAATTGACATTTCAAGTGTTTCAGGCATTGTTGCATCTCTTTCTTCTGAAGAAGACGAAGAAAATTACTATTTGCCTTGAATCAATGGATCATTTTGAATTTGACAGTGGTTAATCCCTTATGCTTCTGAAGCCTAAATCAAGAGACTTTTTTAAAAAATAAAAATTTTCATGACATAGCCTTAAGTAATAAAAGATAGATTCGATGGATTTTTATGTTACTAGTAGTTACTGATTTTTTTAAACTTTAGCATTATTTTTATAATTTAGAAAAATATAATGCATGCCATGGTAGGAATTTGAAAAGTACAGAACATAATAGGGGAAAAAATAGAAGCCTTGTCAGGAGGTGCAGGAACGTCTCCTGAGCAAGTAAAGAAATCGGTAGCAAGTATTGATTCATGTCACCCTCCTCAGCAGGTGTTGGAAAGGGTGTGATTGAAGGGAGTGTCCCTTGTTTATGGAGGAGCATAGCACAGTATCCCTGTGGAACAACTTGCTGTTTAAGATGTCTGAGGGCATTCATCATTATCACAGCTTCTCTCGCTCAGGATGGCTTGTGTCACCACAGAAGAAATTTGGGGGGTGGATGGAGATTTTGCTCCTGCCCTACCTAGAACCTGCACCTGCGGACGACTGTGTGGAATTCTATGCAGAGCACATCTGGATTTCTTATGCAACCTCAGACCGTCTTCTTTAGCTGTTAGGCTTCCTTAGTTGCCCTTAGGTTTGTTGTCAGAATAACCAAGTGTGTAGCAGCATGTGTTCGCAGTGGACTCGGCATAGTTCACTTTTTCTTTCCTGGGAGTCCACGTCCTTCTCTTCAGAAGCTGCCCGGGAGCTACTGGAGTGATTCAGCCCAGGGCCCTGTCGAGCTCACGCTGGCTCCTGCAGTTCTGTCTTCCTGGCAGCCTTCACTCCCCTGATGGGTAGCAGCCACCACCCCGTCGACTCCTGCCAGACTGGACTGGGACAGAAGACTTGCAAGAAGATGACATCTGTAGATGACCTGATGTGTCAAGATATATGGAGAGATGTAGACACCTGGCAAAGAATTTGGGGTTGAGTTATGGCAGAGAAGCAAGCAAATGAAAAAACCAAGCAATTATAAATTTATCAGGGAAGGAAAGGTATAACATGTTCCATGGCCCAGCTGTGACTAGTGTTCACCCAGGTATGCTGTTGTCAACCTTGAATATTAAGCCAAACGTGGACGATAGGCCTTCTGAGAGCATGTTGGCAGGAAAAGTTCAGGGTTTGAGGTAGGTCAGAGAGGCAGGCAGTTTATGTTCTGTAGTGGAAAATCAATAATGCCTAAAATCACAAAAGCAAGAAATAGAAACATAGGCTTATAAAAGATAGGGAGCTAAATTCTGAAAATATCATTGCTTCAGGAGAGGGCAAATGGGGGGTGGGGCATGGAGACAGGAGGGATTATCTTCCATAACAAGTCTTATAGAGCTATTTGACTCTTTAAATCAAGAGAATGTATAACTTTGATTAAAAATTCAAACCAACAAAAAAATGATGTCGGAGAATCAGGTGCTTGGAATCCTAGGCTTCCTAACCCCCTTTCCACCACCCCTCTCCCCAGCACACACAAACTGCACACTTGTGAGCTTCCCCTTATTCAACTAGGGACTCTTTAAATATCTCATGAAAGGATTGTGCTGAAAGCCAAGTTTCCTTCCATGTGTTGAAGTACAAAATAGATTAAAAGTATATGTGTATCAATACAAGGTTAATACAAGCAGTTGCCTAAGAAAATTACGCAGTTTGGGCACTTGTTTAAAAAAACCTTGCTGTGGTTTTTCTTTGTAAGTCACAATGTTAGGTATTGTAGCCCTGTCTTTAGTGTCTATAATAATGTCTGAAGAAAATAGTAAAGCACTATTTAAAACGTTTTTAGAAACCATGTAGTAATTGGCTATTTTCATTTTGTGAAATTGAGATTAATTTCGATTGAAATTTTTTTTATATCCTGTTTTTTCCAAGCATATTATTTTTTAACAAGTATTTCGAAACACGAGCTGTGTTGGTGTTTTTTCAATTTTTACATTTATAATTTCTCTCCAATCAGGTATGTATTCTCTCCAATGAGGAGGCTCTCCATCCTCCTGTGTATTTGCTAAAGCCATGCCGTGGTGGCCAATATGGAATAATCTCTAGTACACTGGTGAGAGGGGGACCGGCAACTCTAATCTTAGGTATGGAAGTCAAGTTAAACTGATTCTGAAAGCTTTCATTGAAACTAATTCACAAGTTTTCTACAAATGTTTCTAGCAACAAGGACATTTTTTGTCATGATGTTTATTAAAAAATTTTGGCCTTACATGTCCCTCTGTTTTTTACTGACTTAATGAAAGTTACTTATTAGTATTTTTAACCACAGAAGTTAAAATTTACATTTGTGTGTGTTATTGCTGGCCATGTGATTTAAGGTGCCGGGAGTCCTGTACTGCTGGTTACTGGTTACACCGAGCCCCTTGTGACTGTCTGCCCCGCCCTGCCTGCATCCGGTGTTATAGCCCTACTGCCAGAGTTCCCAGCTCCCACAGTGGACCTGAGTGGCTGTGATTAGCGTTCCCACTGTATGGGATGGTAATAACGCCCATCCCAAACAACTGTAAAGATTAAAGGAAAAAATTACAAAAGTAATATAGTGCCTGGCAGTGGTAAGAGCTCAATAAATGTTGTTATTGGGGTATTTTGCACTTTTAAATATTGTCTATTTTCCTAAGTGAAATTCAGAAGCATTTTTCAGGTTTCTGAAAAGTGAAGTTCTTCGAGATTTTTATCGGGATCACAGATTTATAAATAGGAAAGAATCAATTTACAATACTCATGTTTTTTAAAATCTAGGTATATGGTATGTACGTTGAATTCAAATACTTAAGATGCTTAGCGAAATTATTTTAAGTTTATTCCTATATGGTTTTTAATTTTAGTCATTGTCAATTCGATTTCTCTCATGTGTAAATTATCGCAGAGGCCATTTATTTTCCAAGGTAGATTAGCTATGAACATAGGAACACAGATCCAATAATTCCTCAGTGTTTGCTGTTTGCTGGTTGAAGGCTTTTTCACTGGCAATTCCAGGGTTCTAGAAATCTGGCCAGGAATCAGATACTATCAAATTGTCCTCATGGTGTTGACCTGTAGGTGGTGCTGTTGGTCAGAGCAAGCGCCTCAGTTGGGCAGGGCCGAGAGTTGTGTGGACTCTGCTCTCCAGGAAGTCATCGTGGAAAAGGTTTTGCGTTCAGCAGGCAGATGTGCTAAACTCAGTGCCCCATTCTTTTTTATTTTTAAACTGAGTCTCCTTTTTTTTAAAAAAAAAAATTTATTTATTTTTGGCTGTGTTGGGTCTTCGTTGCTGCCTGTGGGCTTTCTCTAGTTGCGGCGACTGGGGGCTACTCTTTGTTGTGCGCGGGCTTCTCATTGCAGTGGCTTCTCTTGTTGTGGAGCACGGGCTCTAGGCACTCAGGCTTCAGTAGTTGTGGCGCATGGGCTCAGTAGTTGTGGCTTGCGGGCTGTAGAACGCAGGCTCAGTAGTTGTGGCACATGGGCTTAGTTGCTCCACGGCATGTGGGATCTTCCTGGACCAGGGCTCTAACCTGTGTTCCCTGCATTGGCAGGCAGATTCTTAACCCCTTTTCTACCAGGGAAGCCTCTCTACGGTTGACTCTTGAACAACAGAGGTTTGAACTGCACTGGGCCACTTACACTGGGATTGTTTTCAATGTCATTACGACAGTACTGCAAAATCCATGGTTGGTTGAACTTGCAGAATTGGAACCTCATTTACAGAGGGCCAACTATAAGTTTATGCGTGGATTTTCCACTCTGCAGAAGGTCAGCACCCCTAATGCCCGTGTTGTTCAAGGGTCAACTGTACACACAAGTGTGTCTATATTTACCTCTGAATCTGTCTGCTGTATTATACTGAGAGCCAGGAGTTCACATCAAAACTTACACATCCAGCCCAACATTACAGGGTTCATTTTGGTTTTTTCCCTTTCAATATTTGCAGCTCTTATCTCTGATAGTAAGAAACTGCCTCTCATTACCCTTGATGTACTTTCTCATTGGAATAACCTGTTTCCCACCCTTCTGAGGACACCTCCCTCACCTTCTGGTTCTGAGGGTGCTGGTCTCATCTCCCGCATGGATGTCCTCCTCACCCACCTAATGGCTTTAGGCCTGAACTGTTCTGGAAGAAATGAGGCAGAGAAAGAGGAACTGGCCTTTCCTTAAATGTAGATTTTTTAGTCAGAATTAAAATGTTACTTGACTCTCCCCCACCTCGCTTGTTTGTCCGGGAGCTGAGCTGCCCAGGGGTTCAGCCGGATAAATGGGTGGCACGGGTCTGGGAGGTGGAACACCTGAGTTCTAGGCACAGCTCTGCTTCTAAGGGGCTGGATGCTCTTAGAGGAGTAATCTGACCTCTCCGTGCCCTAGCTCTCTTGTCTGCAAAATGAATAGTCTGGACCAAATCTGAAGTAAAAAAATTGGTGTCCATGGGCCACAATCAGTTAAGTGGTTGAGTCATCCTTGGGAGTTAGCTTTCAGAAAAAATCAAATTTAAATTTCTTCAGATGGAAGCTGTGCACGCCAGTTAGCTACAGGTGGGCCACAGCTTGGATGATCTTTTCCAGTTTCACACATCTCCTTCCAGCCCAAGGATCCTATGGCTTTATTCTTTAGGCTCTGATGAATCAGGCTTGCCCAACTCTAACCCTTCTTGGCTAATGACAGTGTTTCTACCACGAAGAGCGAAACAGCTTATAGACTTCCAATAAGGGCCCTGCTATTATTTAGGATATGATTTTATCTCCTCTAACAGACTACAGAGAATGAAGGCTCAACAAGGTAGTTTGTCTCTCCTATTTAACAGTCCAGGTGTAAGTAGTCCAGGGTGGACTGGTGACCCCATGGTGTCTGGGCCTTAAGCTTCTTCTGGTTGCTGTTCTGCTTGGTGAAGATGGCTCATTGCTACCACCTACATAATTAGGGGAGGGCCCTCTTCCACTTACAGGTGTGACCCAGAAGTTGCATACCTCAGTTCCACTCACATCACATTGGCAGAACTTAGTCACATAGCACATACTATATAGCCAAATGGGAGGTTGAGAAACAAACCTTTGTTTTGGGGAGCCGTGTACTCAGACAAAACTGGGGTGTTCTATTATGTTGAGAGAGGGAGAGAGGACAGAATGGATACTGGGGGAAAATTAGCAGCTTCCACCACAGTATTTGTTAAAAATATTCTCCTCCTCCCACTGTCTGGAATATCCTCTGTCACATGTCCTTTTACTTCCTTATGCTATCTGATGATCAGCCAGTTAAGAATTCATTTCGATTCTGCTATCATTTCCCAGGGCTATCCGTTATTCATCCCTTTGGTAAAAAAAATAGAAGTAATCAGCTTCCAGAAGCAACCAGTCAGGGAAATTTCAAAATTAGGACAGAGTGGGAGGTGGAAGAGATACGTTTGGACAAACGAGACAGTTGGAGGAAGGGTTGGCAAAGATTGGCAATCCTGTAGGGAGCCAAGAGGCCAAATGGAAAGAGTGGGACCTAGAAAAGTCAGTGCTGGTAAAAGAGAAGTGGGAAATGGGAGAGGGGCTGGGTGGGAACCAGATGTGAGCTTCCTCTGCATTACCTCTTTGCTCCATTTTTCTATTCTGACTCAGTGGATTCTTAATCTACCACATTGGGGCTGTCAGAAGAGCTGGGTTCGATTCCCAACTCTGGACCGTGTAACACTGGGAAAACCACATCTCTTCTAAGGCCCCCATCTTCCTCTGTAAAATGGGCATAATCTTCCTACCATACTTCTTTTCCCAGAACCATTGTAAAATACAAATGCAATATCGGATACAAGAACTTTCTGGGTAAAGTGTAATAGACACCTGGTATTATTGGTTGAAATGATGGAGCTCCCTGTGTTCTGTGTGGAGCTGTTCTAGGCCTGGGCCAGCCCAAGCGCTCTGATTTAATTAAGAGAGGCTTAGTGGTCTGGACCGATGGGGGACTGATGGGGGTCAGCCCTGATTCAGAGGTCATTCCTTTGGCAAATAGGGTCTGGGGGAGATGACATAGTCTGGGGGGTTAGCCCCTATTTGGCAGGTCCAGGACCTGGGCTATTAGAGTAGACACCTATCTGGAAAGGACGAGGGGCAGATGGGCATGACTCAGGTGTATGGTCAGAGAGAAGCATGTTAGGCTGGGCTCCTGTAGCTGTGGTGGGATCTCCAGTGCTTTCTCTGATGAGCTCAGAGTCTCTTTAAGGAAGTCTTAGCCCAGGACGTTTGAGAGAAACCCAAGAACCATGACTGGAACTGGTTTGATCTTGGATTGCAGTGAGCCAAATACCATACCACTGAATTTCTCTCCTTTTGACCTGATTTGAGCTGGTGAACTCCTATTCAAATTGTTCCGCTTTCAGCTGCGAAAATCTTCTGAGTGGAAAGAGGAGACATTTTCTCCAGTTTAGGGATCATTTAAGTATGCAATTAACATGAGGACATTCAGCTGTGAGCCAGGAAATGCGCTTCACTCATGATCTCAAACAGAGCCTGTGAGCCTTATGTTCTGTGAGAAGCTTTGCCCGTGTCCTTTTTTGGGGAGGAGATGACACATTGCCTTATCTTTTCTGGGGATAACATGAGGGGCCAGTGTCTTAGGGATACATCTTGTCTTATTTCAAATTGCAACTTGGAGAATCAGATGTTAGTTTTATACTACTTCCCTCAGAATTAACAGCTTTCATTAAAAAAATATAACAAACTGTGTTAAGAATAACCAAGACAATTCATTGAAGGTTTTTCTTTCTTGCCTTGAAGTAATGATCTGCCCCAACTTAAAAAAAATCACGCATAATCATTGCAATATTTCGTGGTGTTTTAAATCCAGACTCTGTCTATCCAAAACAGAGTGATCAAATGATTTTAACCTCTTGAAATGGAAAAGAACCTCTAAGGAAAAAGTACCAGGCTTTCTACAGCTTCTGGGCCGTAGACTCTGTGGGAACGACCCAGTGAATTTTTATTCCCGCAGTTTGCCCTGAGCAAGGAGTCAAAGAGAAGACGTCTTCTCACCTCTGCCTACCTCTGCCGTCGGCCTTAGTTGCCAAGTAAGTGGCAACTCATTCCAGTATCTCCTGTGAATACCGGTAAGCTGAGCCCGCATTCCCCATTTGTATTGTTTGACCTCTACACATTTACCAAGGACTTTCTCGTGACCACACTGCCTCCTTTCCTCCTTGAGGGATTTCATTTTATTCTTTCTCACAAAAGCTCAGAGCCACGCTGGCTGCGGCTGCTATGGCCTTC